CCCTAATAAGAATGGGGGATGGAGGCCAGTTCTCGATATGAGACAGCTGAACAGGTTCATTCAGAAACTAAAATTCCACATATCTGTGGCATCAATAATTTCCTTGTTGGAGAGCACACTGTTGCTCTTGACATGAAAGATGCATATTTTCTCACAGACATCAAGCCAGCCCACTGGAGATTCCTCTTCGATCAAGAGCTTTACCAATTCAGAATCCTCTTTATTGGTCTAGCAAGGATCTTTACAACAGTTTTTTCAGTAGTGTCAGCTTTGATGAGAAGAGAGGGATTTATAGTCTTCCCTTACCTCAACAACTGGCTTCTGATGGGCAGTTCTTACAAGACAGTCCAGGGAGCAACCAGTGTTCTGCTCAGTCTTCTGCCTCCCTGGGGTATCTGTCAATCATGCAAAATCCATATTGACCACCAGGAGGTTCATACATTTTATAGGGTGAAGTTGAATTTGACTACAGAAAGAGCCCATCTACCTCTTGAGAGGTTTCATGCCATTAGAACTCTCATGCATCAGGTCATTGTCAGACCTAGGACGTCAATCAGAACTTGCCTTTCACTCCTTGGCCACTTGGCCTCATGCACACATGACGCCATTCGCCAGGCTTTGTCTTAGCTGCCTACAAGCCTAGCTTCTCTCTGTGTACTCACCAGAGAAGTTCAAAATAAACAGCAAAGTGACCATTCTGCCCAAAGTTTTAGACTCTCCTCCAGTGAACAAAACTGGAGAAGATTAGTCTGGAATTGTTGTATCAGCCATCACGTAACCCTGTCAGCAGCATATTTATCAGAGGTGCAAAACTCCTTAGCAGACTGCCAAAGCAGACATTTTTCTTTAAATCAGTAATGAGAGATACATAATTTGGTTCTCGATGATGCCTTCACTCAATGGGGTACACCAGCCTGGGACCTTTTTGCCTTGTGGGAGAACAGAAAACTTCCTTGGCATTGCTCCAGAGCTGCCCGGGCAAAGGCATAATGGGAGATGCCCTGCTGGTGTCATGGAACGGTTGCCCGGGGTATGCCTTCCCTCCCATCCCATTCATACCACAAGTTCTATGGAATATCCACTGAGGCTGAGCTTGAGTCATCCTGATTGTATCAACTGGCCAAGGCAGTTCTGGTTTACGGATCTGCTGAAGCTCTCAGTTCATGCTGCTGGACCATCTAACACAGCATAAGGGCAGGTTCAAGCACGTCAGTCCAGGACCACTACAACTCAAGGCCTGGTTTTTGGATGGGTATCAGAAATAGAGCACTCGTGTTCTAAAAGGGTGCAATACATCCTAAACCAAAGCAGAGAAGTCTGTACAAGGAGCTGTTACTCAGCAAAATGGAAATGTTTCTCCTCTTGGGCTCACCAATGCAGCTGTCTCCAGAATCCACCAGGATCCCTATCATCTTAAAGACAGGTTTCACCCGTACATCTTTGTTTCGCACACTCAGTTCTCTGCGAGTATATTTAGCAGAGATCAGCACTTTCCATCCTCCTGTGGATAATGGTACAATATTCACTCATGCTGTCACATTTAGATTTCTGATGTAGATTCTCAGATCCTTTACACCATTTGTGAAGTTCACATCTCAGTGGGACCTCAATTTATATTATCATTGCTCACTAAACTCCCCTTTGAGCCTCCAGCCATATGATCTATGGCCCATCTGTCCATGAAGGTGGCCTTTCTAATAGCCACAATGTCAGCCAGAGGAATCAGTGAGCTAGGCACGCTCATGGTGGTCCCACCATATACTACATTCTCTAAAGAAAAGGTGTCATTACAACTCTGCCCTAGATTCATTCCTAAAGTAGTTTCCAAGTTTCATATGAGTCAGTTAATTCACTTATAAGTATTTTTCCCAAACCACATGCCTCAGATGAAGAGAAACGGACAGATTCTAGATGTGTGAACAGCTTTTATCTGCAAAGAAAAAAGATGTTAGAAGACACCTTAAACCGTTTGTTTCCATAGCAGAGTGATCAAGAGGTCGAGCTGTATTGGCACAGAGACTTTCAAAATGGATATGAGCTAGTTTGTTACCAACTAGCTCATATCTCCCCCCCACACACACACACACCTGAGGGACTCATTCCATTAGAGGGCAAGCTACTTAGACTGCATAGCTGAGAGACTTACCTCTCCTAGAGATGTATAGGGCAGCTACTTGGAACTCTTTACATACCTTCACAAGATATTACACTCTGGTCTAGTCATCAACTGTGTATATAGCTGTGGGGACAGCAGTGCTACAATCAGCTATCACTTCTGTGTCCTCTTACACACCCCCTGTTGACTGTTGCTTGTTGATCTCCCACATGTGGAATGCACATAGGGACCTTAACTCAAAGAAGAAATGGAGGTTATGTATCTGTAACAGTGGACATTCTTTGAGATATGTGGTCCCTATCTGTATTCCAGTCCACACCCTCCATCTCCTCTGCCGCGGATTGTTTGAACAGTGGTACGTTTGGCAAACTGGAGAGGCATCAGCTCATGCCATCTTTTATGCCCTTGGTTCAGTGCATGAGGAGAGCTATGGTGCATGTATGGGCCAATGGACACTATTTGCAAAATATTCTCAACTTAGGCTAATGGTGCACGTGAGTATCCCACCTGTGAAATACAAATAGGGCTCACACATCTCGAAGAACCTCCAGTTACAGGTAAGTACAGTAACTCCTCACTTAAAGTCATCCCAGTTAACGTTGTTTCATTGTTACGTTGCTGATCAATTAGGGAACGTGCTTGTTTAAAGTTGCGCAGTGCTCCCTTGTAACGTTGTTTGGCAGCCACCTGCTTTGTCCACTGCTTGCAGAAAGAGCAGCCCATTGGAGCTAGCTGGTGGGGGCTTGGAACCAGGGTGGACGGGCAGCCCCCCTATCAGCTTCCCGCTCCCCTAAGTTCCCTGTGCAGCAGCAGCCCAGCAGGCTATCAGTTGCTGGCAATGCAGCTGTCCCTCCCCCCACTGCCCCGTGCTGCTCCTGCCCTCTGCCTTGGAGCTGCTCTCCAGAGCCTCCGGCTTGCTGGGTGGGCTAATGTCAGGGTGTCCCCTCCCCCCTACTCCTGCACCCCGCTTACCCCATCTCCATAGAGCAGGGGACACACACGACAGGGCTCAGGACGGAGGGACCTGCCTGGCAGCAGCTGCTTGCGGATTAACTTAACAAGGTGGTGCACTTAAGAGTGGTATCAGCATACTTAAAGGGGAAATGCGCATCTCTGTCTCTCTGACAGAGAGACACAGGGTGTGTCTCTCTGTCTGCCATCCTGTCTCCCCTCCCTCCATTCGTGCTGCCTTGTAGAGTGTGAGGCTACATTAACAACAATGAGTTAACCCTTGAGGGCTCAGCCAATTGCTAGTTCATCATTTAGTAGTAAGGCATTCCCTGGGAAATATCCCACCCTCTGACTTCACCACCTCAACCAAGCTTCACAATCATCATCGCTGTGTACAGTATTAAATTGTTTGTGTAAAACTTTACTGCATGTGTGTATGTATAGTCTTTTGTCTGGCAAAAAAAAAAAATTCCCTGGAACCTAATCCTCCTCCCCCCGCCCCCCATTTACATTAATTCTTATGGGGAAATTGGATTCACTTAACATCATTTTGCTTAAAGATGCATTTTTCAGGAATATAACTACAACGTTAAGTGAGGAATTACTGTAACCTCAATTTTTGTGGTGCAACCTAAAGAATGTTCAGTACCTTATCTAACATTTGAGATATAATTACTCCTTTCTAAAGATTCAGTCTCTGTTTTATATTTGCAAGTGATTGGATATATTTCTTCTGTTTGTTATACTACTTTAGTCTACCATTTCATTCTTCATTCATTCTAAAGGGATGTTCCAGCAGCTGAAATGTATTGTGCAGAGTGTAACATTTAATCACCTTCTTCAGTGGCTTCATTTTATTTTTATTTGGCTCTTCAACGCTCAGCTGTCTACTAACTGTTTGAGTACCAAACCAGAAAGGGAAAACCAATTGACACCTCCAAGGCATTAAGCCAATAGTACTATCATTAGATGAAACACTTCCTACATATAATATAAGCGCAGCCCCAGTCAGCTCTTATTGTGTCTGCATCACAGGCAAAGTAATGCTGCAAAAATAGCCTATTCAAGCCCAAATTAATGGTGTTAAATTTGCAACACCATTTGCAAACTAAGGACACCATCAGAGGACACAACCACATCAACCATACCATCAGAGGCTCATTCACCTGCTCGTCTACCAATGTTATACACGCCATCATGTGCCAGCAATACCCCTCTGCCATGTACATTGGCAAAACAGGACAGTCCCTACATAAAAGAATAGACACAAATCGGACATCAGGAATGGTAACATACAAAAGTCAGTAGGCGAACACTTCAGTCTTCCTGGACATTCTATAACAGATTTGAAAGTAGCTATAGTTGAACAAAAAAACCTTCAGAAACAGACTTCAAAGAGAAACAGCAGAACTAACATTCATTTGCAAATTTAACACCATTAATTTGGGCTTGAATAGGGACTGGGAATGGCTGGCTCATTACAAAAGCAGCTTTGCCTCTCCTGGAATTGACACCTCCTCATCTATTGTTGGGAGTGGACTACATCCACCCTGATCGAATTGGCCCTGTCAACACTGGTTCTCCACTTGTGAGGTAACTCCCTTCTCTTCATGTGTCATTATGTAATGCCCGCATATGTGATTTTCACTCCATGCATCTGCAAAAGTGGTTTTTTACCCACGAAAGCTTATGCCCAAATAAATCTGTTCGTCTTTAAGGTGCTACTGGACTCCTTGTTTTTGTGGATACAGACTAATACGGCTACCCCCTGATACTTGACCCTATGCTTTACAGGAATGCAGGGGAATTGTGGACTGAGAATTAAAGACATTGGAGATGTCAGCCTTTCATCTATCTTCTTTTTGTTTTAAGTGCTTCATTTCAGTCAGCTTCTAAAGTTTCTGAAACTGTTTGCCAAACCACCTCTTTTCAGGTCTCCTGCAAGCGCAGAATCTCTTAACGCAACTACCTCAGCAAAGCCAAGCCAACCTCCTGCAGTCTCAGCCAAGCATCACCCTCACCTCACAGGTCAGTTTTCCTCCTGCAGCTTTTCAGCAGTTCTTTGGGGCACTCAAACTAATGTGCAAGAGGGGCACATATATGTTTGTTGCAAGAATGGAAGTTGAGCTACTTAGTCGTCTCACTTTTCTAGATGGCTACAATACAACAGAAGTGCCAGCTCCAGTTATAGTTATCTGTATATTAAAGCTGCATAATAGTTTCCCTTCAAATTTTCCTGTTTTCATTCACTCATAATTTACCAAAACGTTTCCTCTTTGGACTGAAATTATCCATGCTTGGCCTTTTCCTGAAGGTGGAAGTTTTTAGTAGTTTGAACAAAAATGGTTTAGTCAATTTTGAGTACAAGTAGAGTGGTGGAACAATACCCTTTTTCCATTATATTAAACATTTTTGCAACCTTGTTTTTAATAGATTTAAAACCTAAAGGGCTATACGTTGATATTTGGCATGGAAATAGCCCTCATTGAGTAAAAATGCCTTTAATTGTTCTCGTGAAAAATATTTTTGATTTGACAAAATTATAAGACTGAAGACTTCATGTTATATAGAGTAATTTTTTAATATACACAGCTAAAAGAGGCTATACTATTCAGGAGTCTGCAGTTAATTTAGCTGCTTAATTGGCAGATGTGTGGGGCTTAAGGCAACATGTCCATAGGAACATTTGCCTCAATTCCTCCATTTCTTTATAAGGTTCTCAGAGTTCCTAAAACTTACAGGAAAAGGGCTGAGGGCTTCCTAAAGTGTGCAGGAAAGGGTTTCCCTCCTGGAAGTTTTCCAAAGATCCTGGGCAAAGTGGTCTATTTTCTAGCCAAAGATATTGTTGCCAGTCTTTTGCAAGTCAGCAGAAGAGTAAAACTAATTTTTAGCTGTTTTTCCATGATTTATATCTTTAGGAAAAAAAAAAAAGAAACCTTTAAAAACATTGTTTTAAGCTATTAAAGCTCTACGGTTAAGCTTTCAAAACTCTGGAAAAGTAATGTTGAAGTGCCTGCAGCTTTAACTCTGCTTGCTTGTGTTCGTGTGTTACTGTAGCCTCTAATTATATGATCACATATTATTTCTGAAAAACAGACTATCACATAATGTTTTTCTTTTAATGCAGGTAGCATTTTGTAGCACATGCTATTGCGTCTGTTACAGTCTGTGAAAGTGCCATATATGAAAAGTACATAGTACCTGTACTTGTATTGCTTACTACATTTTCTATATGCAATGTAGAATAGTGGAAATTAGCTATTCTAGTTCACAGCTTGGGGAGCTTCACATGTCCCTAACAAAGATTTTCTCTAATGTGTAACATAGGGGGAAAAAAAGAACTTTAATAAAAATTTAAGTCAAATACGTTTCTGTAGTCCAATATAGTTTAAGTAAGTTTAAAATATTGGGGATGGAAAAAGTGTGCGACATGTATCTACAGTTCTTGAAAATATTGTATATTATCTGAGCAATAATATGTGATCATGTAATTAAAGACAGTGGGCTAAATCCTGCCCCCCCCGAACCACCTGCTCTGCATTGCAGAATATCACTAGCGCTAACCAAGTAGAAAGCCAACTTAGTGAGCCAGTTGGAGGTTTAGCTTTGTAGGCGATATGGCTGTCGCACTGAAGTGCTAGGGAACGGCCGTTTGGAGGCTATTACCAACCAGCGCAATTTAGAGCGGTCTTGAGGCTTCTCTCTGCTGCATTGGGGGCATAAACAGCGTCAGAATTGGGCCGAGGACATAGAAATGGCGCAAAACCATCTTTGCCCAAGCCCCTCAGCTGCAGTGAACAGAATTTGGCCAAAGGAGGATTCAGCTCTGCATTTTAACAATGCATACACCCAAGGAGGTGGAGTAAAGCACTCAAAGCTCAAGAAATTCCAACGTTCAGATTGTGTGCAAAACCTTAACTGTGAAACCCAGATGTTCTCTTAATATATTTTGATTGTGTGAAACCTAGCCTAACTGTGGTTTCCATAGCGCGCACACACACACATCTCAGGCTCTTACTGAGGCCCTGTATTCCTACTTTTATATTGGGAAATGATCTTTATAGGCTAATTGTCAGGAATAGCAAACTTTTCAGTAGTTTCCTAGGAAACTGTGTGGTTATGCTGGGAAAATCAGAGACCTAAAAGAAATTCCTTTTCTGTGAGTTTTTATTTTTTTAAGAGGAATTATTGCCATATAATGTCTCCATTATAAATACTCTTCTTGTTAGCAGTCTCAGCAGAGGTGCCAAAGAGAGCAAACTGCTCTCTCCCCGCCCCAGAAGTGGTGCCTCTGGGACAAGGTTGTGTCACATTCACAAGGGGAAATGTTAGGGATATTTGTGCTGCTGCCTCTGCTAAGCTTGTTCTGAGGAAAAATAGAGGATTTGAGTCTGTAGAGCTGTCAACTTGATGCTGCACCCACAGTAAATTGAATTTTAAAATAATTAAAGGGGATGAATGCCAAACTCTCCAAAAGTATTGAAAAATATTAAGAGTAACGTTGAACTGTTCTTGGAGTAGGCAGAAGGCATTAGTAAACTGGTACAGTATATCTTTTGTTTTTCCTTGGCTTTTTTTGACAGAGTCCTTCTTGAAAGACTGTATACTAATACAGTACAGTGGATGGTGATGGCCTTTATTTGAGCAATGTTAATAAATTTGAGAGCACTTTGGGATTTATTAGAAATGGTAGATATATTAGTATCCAACCTGTCTCCTGTGGGAATCTGGACTCCTGAGTGAGATTTATTTCCACTATTTTGTGTTTTTAAAAAAAACTTTTTTTTTCTCTTCCTGTCTCCTACCCTCAACAGCCAGCAACCCCAACACGCACAATAGCAGCAACCCCCATTCAGCCACTTCCACAGAGCCAATCAACACCAAAGCGAATTGAGACTCCCAGCTTGGAGGAGCCCAGTGACCTTGAGGAGCTTGAGCAGTTTGCCAAGACTTTCAAACAAAGACGGATCAAACTTGGATTCACTCAGGTAAAATTGAGTAACCCTATACCTCCCAGTTTAGGGTTAAATCAGTTTTCAGGTTTGGAGGTTGGGGACAATAGCACCCCTTCTTAGCAGTGCCTTCTTAAATAGAATTAAGCTCTCGTCTTTCCCTTCTGTATCAGAAAAGAACGGAAAAGGCCATACACATCTTACTCACTCCCTTGTTGGTTTTAAAAGGTAGCCATTTTCCCAGCAGGTGCATGAATTTACCAGCTCAGGCTGTCATTGAATGTGGTCTGTTCAGCCTAGAAGATTTAAAAAGAATAGGTCAAAACACTTTAAAAGCTGCTCTCGGAAATGCAACCTCTCAAGTCATATAGCACACTTAACCGTTCTAAGTATTTAAAGATGGTGTCAAAACTGTGATGAAGCTGCTTTATATGTTGAAGGGTTTTATCATTTGAACACATTTTCCTATTAAATATCAGTGATTCTGTATTTGAGGTTTAAGGCTTGCAAGGGTCCGCAAATAAGAACTCAAATGGCAGAGGAGAAATCTTAAAATGATCCGGAAACAAGTTGTGAAAAGACAAGTTGAATAAGAAAATAGTAAACTTGAAGAAAGCGTATGAGGTTTGATCACCACTTTGGAATAGTGTCCACATTGAATACGCTGAAGACAAGCTTATCAATCTTTCTTTCTTTCACCAGGTTCATATGTAAATAATTGATGATAAGAAAGGAACTGTTTTAGAGTTAGAGCAAGGAAGTAGGTGCCTGGACTCCTGAGTTCTAAAAAACCCAAACAAAAAAAAACAAAAACAAAACCCACTTTTGCCATTAAGTATTTAGCAATGTTTAAGTGAATATAGAGGAGCAACATTAAGGGAAAGCAACTCCCACCCTACAGGCTCACCAGAGCAAAGGTTCACTAGTCTGCTTACCTAAAGCCTGATGGTGAAATCCGTTTAGGAGGGTGGAGTCAGAGCACAAGAACCCATCAGGATGAGGCTGAAGAAAGTAATTTTGAATACTGTATATTGAATATTGTTGGATGAAAGGTGCTATTAGTAGTGCAAAGTATGATTATATGTTCTGTCATCCTGTTGCTGAGTGAAGCTGTGCTTGGATCTAGGAGTTCCCTCTTGAAAAAAATGAAAATTAAGTGTTTTTTTCCCCCTTAAAAATTAAAATCCTCTGTCCCTATCAAGAAGTCTGGTAGCATGCTGTTAAACATTAGCATGTTTTGCTAGAAGGAGTGAACAAAAATCAGAAGTCTGAACTCAAAGCAGCCAATCCAATTTTTTGTGAATTCAGAATAAGTAACGTGCCGTAGCTGAATGCATGTGTCCATGGTCAGATTTATTTTTCCGATGGCGTTCTAAATGCCTGAAAAATCAGGGTTCACAAGTTCACAAGTTCCTGCCAGAATCTTAATTACCGCACAAGAACAGGTTGTTCTTAGTAAGATGAGTGTTTTGTTGGCACAAGCATGCTTCAGTCTCTCTGTCATGAGACTCAAATATTATGGTGATAAGCATGGTATAAGAACCTGTATTGAATAGAATAGTGTTGCTTAACTGAGGATTTCTAGTTTGTGCTCATCACAGTTGTGACAATTAGCCTGCTGTGTCATTGTGAAATGATTATGCAGCAGAAATCAGGATTTTTAAGTTAAGGGTTAACTCTCTTTACTGACGCTGTCCTGAATTTGTACCGTGGAGGAAAAAGCAGACACAATAACTCAAGGATTCTATTACCAGCCCTTGCTTTTGAGCTTAGTATCACAATCCCAGTATAATACAAAGGCAGCTTTTTGTATTAAATTTCCCTTTATTTAAAAAGAACAACCAAAAAACTGTTCTAAATGGCATAGTATTTACTTGATTGATCCATTCTTATTCTTTGAGTAAATATGTACATAATTTAGGCAGTTTTTAATAACTATTACCTAATTACATAATTGTGTAGTAATTAAGGATCTTATTACTAAGGTTTCCTATAGTCACATAATTAGATTGCATGCCAAAGGATAACAGGAAAATTCATTGCCAATGACGTAGGTTATTTTCAAATTCATCGGATTTACTTTTGTTCTTTTCAAATATAATTACAAGGGTCTAGTTTGCATTGTACACTAATTGCCTATTACATTCCATTTTGGGGGTAATATAATAAGCTGGTTTTTACTTGCGATAGTTCTTTATCATTTTAAAGTAAGTGTCCAAAACAGATTAATTGGGGGTTTTATATAATTTTAATTTCTTTTAAAATAGCTGCATGTTTGACCCATTTAAATCCAAGCAAAGTATTCCATCTGAGATAGCTGATAATCCTGGAAATACTGTACAGACATTACCTACATCCACACTGACTAGTTTGAGATGTGTTCCTACTATGGGAACTTGTGATTTGACATGTTACAATATCTTGTGATGTAATACAAACAAATGGGAATATTATCTCTTGTCACCTCTCTTCTGGCACGAATGACACTATTGTAATGAAGTATAACTGCTCATATTGTGCTCCATATTTGTTTTCATTGGTCTGTAATTGGATTGTCTTTCCATGAAGTGTATCGAACTAGTTTATTGCAAAGTGTCTTTATCCTCTACTTCAGTGGTGTGTGACTGACTCTTCGCTAATTCCCATACAGTCATGCCTTCACCTACCACTGAAATGATACCATCTTTGGGGGGGAAATGTTCACAAAGAAATGAATAACTACTACTTCAAGGAGTATCTCTGTGGGTGCTCCACTTCAGGATGTATGTGCTTACACGTGCACTCATGACTGGAGATTGTCTGTGCCCTAGATATCCCTCTGCTCCAGTGTGAGGATATTCGGGGGAGCAGAGTCGCTACCACTGCTGGTGCTTCTCAACTGCTTGCGAGAGTGTTGTAGAGTCTGTTAGCTTGCCAAGCTGCTTGCTATTTCTCTTGCTTATTTTTTCTTACTCTGTTAGTAATTTATTTTATTTATTTTTCTGTTATTTAGCACAGATTGTATTTGGGGGGGAGTCAGCCTTCCATTCTCATTTGTTTTTCTCAGGCCTCAGTTCATGGTCTTGAGTAACAGGTTATGCCCACGATCCTGGGCTTCAAGCCCTGCCACACTGTTAATGTGGAGACCAAGCCAAAGACTCCCGAGATATTCTGGAAAGAGTTCAGATTAAAGAGTGAGAGACTTGGAAAGACTAAATCTTTTTTATCATCATCTGGATTAGCATGAACCTATTAGCACTGAGCAAATTTCTGTGTACCTGAAGCCTTATGTAGAAGTGGTGTCACCAAAAGGGCCCACTGATGTGTTTGTTTCAGTTAGTGCTTTGTGTCCTCTGTGTGATAGAAGAGACTTCTATAGCTAAGAGTCATATGTTAATGAATCTCTCTCTCTCTCTCTCTCTCTGTGCAGGGTGATGTTGGGCTCGCTATGGGCAAACTCTATGGAAATGACTTCAGCCAAACTACCATCTCTCGCTTTGAAGCCTTGAACCTCAGCTTTAAAAACATGTGCAAGTTAAAGCCACTTCTGGAAAAGTGGCTCAATGATGCAGGTGAATGAGTCTGTGAACTTCTTCACAATCCCACCACAAATCCAGTGGGATTCTGAAAAATTGCTTTACTCTTCTGCTTGGTTTGGGCCTTAAGTCACTTGTTACAAAATCCATCAAGCTTCCCTATCTCTTCTTGGGACAGGTAATTCACGAGGATAAAAGTAATAATAGCATTGGTCCAAGGGTCGACAGGCCTTTGAAGCAATTCCCATGTAGCTTTTGGATATGTGCTACACAGTCAGTGGAATCATTGGCTGGCGTGAGGGAAAAGTATACACTACATGCTGTGTGTGTGCATGCGCATATAACTTCTAACTGTCCTCTAGATTCCTTTCCCAGTTGGGTAGTTACAAGAGGGTTTCACACTTCGTAGCTAGTGCAGGCCAAGCTCACTGCATACACCAGCAGCTCTCAAGATTCATCCAGTCCCTCCACAAGCTCCCTGTGTGCCACCCTCCTTTCCATGCCATGGACTCTGTGCCCCCTCCATTTCTCCCTCTCTCCATGGTAGGGGGTCTGTGTGCGCCCCCTCTTCCTCCCCTCCACCCCCCCCCCCCATAGGTTCCTATCCACAACATAACATTATTTATCCTTTTCTTTCTCTGTGGGAGATAAGTCATTCGGGATGTTGACGTTTTAAACTCAGACAATGAGCAGAGCTGAGATGGGGCCATTGTTATGCTTGAGGTTGTTAATGGCTGCCATCGACTAGTTCTTTAATCTGTAGACCATAACAGACCTGGTTGAAGCTGAGAGGTCTTCTAACCATTTGTCCCCCATTTCCTCCTAGTTTTCCAATTTTCACCAAAATCAATGGAGTTCTACTCCCTCATGCCTAGAACATTACTTGAAATTTTGGAATTGATCGAATGCAGTGTTCAAAATCTATTGCATTACAGACAAGCAAAAATGCCATCCAGTTTAATGTAGGGCCTCACTTCATTTGGCCAACAAAGAAATGTCAGCAAAAAGTTTCTGGCTGGTTCTGTAGCATCCAACACCAAGGTTTCTCAGAGGGTATTTCAAGCCCCTAGGACAGTGGTTCCCAAACGGTGGGTTGTGACCCCCAAATGGGGTCACACCATTAGCAGATGGGGTTGCAGCAATCCTGAGTGTGCAGATGATGCCATTTTGTTCCACAGAGCATGGCCTTGCACATACAGCGCATGCAAGGTCACGGTGCATAGAGGACACTATTTCGCTCTACAAAACAGCATCCTCTGTATAATGTGACCTCACGTGCACCATACATATAAGGTCACGCTGTGTGGAGGACGCCAATTTGCTCTACTAAATGGCGTCCTCCATGCAGCGTGACCTTGCACACACCAGAGGTGTGAGGTCACGCTATGCAGAGGATGCCATTTTGTACCCTCGGTACCAGCATCAGACAAAGGCTGAAAGAAGAGCTCTTCCTATGCTCCCTCAGTACTGAAGAAGCCCACGTGGTCTCCAACTGCACCTCCTTCAGAGTGCATGAAACACTTGGCACCATCAAAGTCTACAGCGCCGGCAACACCGCCAGCCACAACTACTGTACTACACTTGTCAGCCTTGGAATTGATGCCCCTCACAGTACCTCAGGAGTTCCATGTTCCTTGGGACCTGCTTATATCGGAGACTGCTCAGGTCTGACGTGCTCTCGATATCGAGGACATCCAGATCACCTGAGGTGTTCCTGGTACCAATTATTTCACCTCAGATTTCTCTAGGTGCTCCATCATTCCTGAGTGAACCAGAGGAAAAGGCTTCTGTTGACGACCTCACCTCAGTATGACAAGTGTCGGTCCAAGGCTCTCTTCCTCGCTCCTTCAGAGGTCCCTTTCCAGAGGCTTTGACTGAAGCTGCGACTGTCCACGGCCCATGATTACCACCAGTGCCTTACTGATACGAGCACCTTTGGGTGCCTCCACCAATGCGTTATGCTTCTCCTCCTTGGCCAATTTGGGACTTTGGGCTGTTTATAGTCAACAGTTCTCTAGGACATCCAGTATTACCCACCATGGGCAAGAACAGTTGGCATTACCTGCTCCCCCTAGAAGACCTGACCCTCAGGGGGAATCTTTTGAGGAGCAGGAGGCTAGAGCTGATGAAGAGGTTTCACCTACAGGCAATATCTCTTGATCTGCGGATGAAGCAGTTATGTCTCCCCTCTCATTCCTGGTGGATGATTTTAAACACTTCCAGGATCTGATCAAGAGACTTGCAGATTCCTTAGATTCCACTCGGGGAGGTTATGGAGCCTCATCATAAGCTGCTCGATATCCTCCATTCACCATCAGTGGCCTGTATAGCATTAACTGTTAATGAGGCTTTTACATCCAGCAAAGGTTGTTTGGCACATACCAGTATAGTGTCCATTCCGCCTACATGTAAAAGAACAGACAAGAAATGTTATGTCCCAGCAAAGCGCTTGGAGTTTTCATTTTCCCACCCCTGACCTAACTCCATGGTAGATGTGGTGAATGAAAGCTTTAGGCAGCACTACACTAAATCAACACCTCACAATAAAGACCACAAGCATCGGGGCCTATTTGGGAGAAAGTCTTACTCCTCAGCCTCACTTCAATTCAGAATTGCCAATTTTGAGGCCTTAATGGCAAAATATAACCATATCAACTCCACCAAACTCATGACCTTTGTCGACCACCTATCTGCAAAACACAGGGAGCAGTTTCAAGCAATTATGGCGGAAGGCCAGCTATTGGCCAGAACAATGTTGCAAGCCTCCCTCGATGCTGCTGACACCACCGCTTGCTCGATGGCCAAAGCATTGGTAATGAGAAGAGTCTCCTGGCTCCAGCTCTCTCATTTCCCTAAGGAGGTTCAGATCCCAGTCAAAGACCTTCATTTCAACGGTTCTAAATTGTTCGCAGATCGATGGATGAGTCTCTGCAAACATTGAAGGATTCCAGAGTGACTTCGCATTCTCTTGACTTTTACGCCCCTTCATATAAGACCAAACTCAGCAAGTCCCAGACATCCCAGAGATCCCCCCCACACACACACCAAATTCTTCCTCCCTCAGAAGGCGTATGAACCACACCAAAGAAGGCAAAGGTTCCAGAGAAGGAAACTATCCGCTTCTCAGCCTTCTGCCTTGGACTCGTCCATCTCCAAGCAGCAATTTTGACATGTTGGTCAAGGGTCTAAATTACCATCCTCATCCTCCCCCATTGCAGCTGACCCCTCCCTTCGGTGACCGCCTTCACCACTTCATGCAGTCTTGAGTTGATCACTACGGACTGGTGGGTCTTGGAGATTTGTCTCCACAGATTACGCAATCCACTTCACTTCCACCAACTACCCCCTTTTCCCCCCATTCCTCATCCCTCTTCAGGGACCCTGCTCATGAGAGCATACTGTGCCAAGAAATAGGCACTCTCTTACGTTGGGGAGCTCTAGAACCAGTCCCCATGCAGCACAGATGTTTTGTTCAAGGTACTTCCTGGTACCAAAAACCTGGAGGCTGGAGACCCATCCTAGACCTGAGACTACTCCACACCTATGTAAAGGTGTAGAAATTCAAAATGGTGATGCCAAAGGTAGAGGATAGTTCCCTCACCAGAGGAAGGAGATTGAGTTTCAGTCCTCGACACTCAAGATGCGTATTTCCATATCGCTATCCACCCATCTCACAAATGATTCCTCCATTTTATTGTTGGCCAGAATCACTTCCAATATTGAGTGCTCCCCTTAGGTCTGTCATCTGCCCCATGGTCTTTTCGAAGGTCATGTTGGAGGTAGCAGCCCAACTCCACAAGAAAGATATTTTACTATTCCCTTACCTGGATAATTGGTTACTAAAAGGCTGCTCCATGGAGATGACATCTTGGGTAACTTCCAAGGCCATACACCTCTTCCTCCAATTGGGTCTACAACTGAATATACATAAATCCACATTGACCCCAGTGCAGAGCCTAGAGTTCACAGGGTCACATCTCGATTCAGTGACGGCAAGAGCCTACCTTCCTCAGCACAGGTTCATGGCCCTCTCCAACATAGTGAACATGATTCAACTCAGTCCACAAACCATAGTCAGGAACTGCATTCTATTACTGGGCCACATTGCGGTCATGACCTTCGTGACAGAGCATGCCTGACTTAGAATATGCTGCCTCCATGGATGGCTCAGAACCATTTATTCGCCCACCAAACACAGTCTACATATGCTCTTTTGTGTACCTGCCTTCGTGAAACAATACCTTGATTGGTGGAAGAACCATCACAACATTCTGTCCTGTTCACATATCCTTCCCCGACGGTCGTTATAATGACAGACACCTCTCTGCTAGGGTGGGGAGTGCATCTAGACAGTTACGTGATCCAAGGCAAGTGGACGCCGCAGGAGACAATGCTACCTATCAATCTCCTGGAACTCAAGGCAATCAGATATGCTTATCTCCGATTCCTACTACTAATAAAAGGAAAGCACATAAAAATCATGATGGACAATATATTATGCATGTTTTACATCAGCTGCCCAGGAGGCGCCAGATCTCCCTCCTTTTATACTGAGGCACTCAAACTTCGGAACTGGTGCATACAAACCCAGATTACTGTCACAGCAGCCTGTCTCCCAGGTATCCAGATTGTGACTGCTGATGCACTCAGCAGACAGTTCTTCCAAGACCATGAGTGGGAAATAGATCCCACATATTCCACCAATGGGGCACCTTTTTGCCACAGAGGCAAACAAAAAATGCACCCACTTCTGCTCAAAGGCAGACTGGGTCACCAATCCTTAGGGGATGTTTTTCAACTTCAGTGACCGTCAAACCTACCATGTGCATTTCCTCCAACTCCCCTAATAGCCAAGACGATGCTCAAGATAGAGCGAGACAGGTCCAGAGTCATTCTAATAGCCCCTCCCATGGCCAGACAAACGTTGTTTTCTTACTTCCTACAGCTACCTTCCTTGCCCTCCAATTATTCTTTGCAACACTCCCCACTTCCTCTCCCACGAGCACGGGAGGATTCTTCACTCCAATCTCAAGACATTTCATCTCAAAGCGTGGTTAATTTGATGGCTCACAGGGATAGAGACAACCTGTTCAGACAATGTAAAAAGAGTGCTACTACACAGCGGGAAACAACCTGCTTGCTACACATATTGTCAGAAATGATCTCCTTTTGCCTGTTGGTGTGGCTGTAGACAGCTTTCACCAATGACTGCATCACTTTCAGATATACTAGACTACACCTAAGCCCGAACCATTTTCGGTTTATCATTGAGCTCAATAGGAGTCCACCTGGCTGCCATCATGACCCTTCACCCCTCTATAGAGGGTATTCCATCCTTATCCACCTGACCATAACAAGGTTCCTCAAAGGGCTGGGAAACCTCTCCCCACCAGTCCAATGTCCATCTCCAATATGAGACCTCAACCTGGTGCTTAAATGCCTCACAAGATCACTCTTTGAACCTCCTGGCTTCTTGCTTGCTACTCCATTTGTCTATGAAGACAGCATTCCTGATAGCCATCATGTCAGTGCAATGGGTTGGTGAACTAGGGACCCTGATGGCATATGGCCCCTTCATAGTATTTTTTAAGGATAAGGTCACCTCTCTCCAAATGCTTACCTAAGATCTCTTCTGCATTTTACATCAGTCAGACCATTCACTTCCCTGACTTCTACCCCAACAGCATATGAATCAGCAGGACGCAATACTATATACCCTTTTTTCAGAAGAGCTCTGACCTCCTATCAAGACAGAACAAAACTCTTCAGAAAGACCAACAAGATATTCGTCTTGATTGCACACACATCAAAGGGCTCTGCAATCTCCAGCCAGAGACTTTCCAAATGGATTTCAGACTGCATTAACTCTTATTACCAATCTCATAACATTGAGCCACTCTCACTCATACACACCCATTTGGCAAGGTCTACTGCCACTTCTATGGCCTTCCTCAAAAATGTACCGATCATTGAAATAAGTAAAGCTGCCACTTGGCTTCTGTGCATACGTTCTCCGAACACTATGCAATCACGCACAACTCTGCCTCTGATATGATATTTGGCTTGACTGTACTCTCTGCTGTACTGGATTAGACTCCGAAGCCCCTTCCACCTTAGATGGTACTGCTCGGTAATCACCTATAGTGGTGCACCCTTAGGCACACTACTCGAAGAAGAAGAAGAAGAAGAAATGGGTTACTCACCCTGTGCAACAACTGTGGTTCTTTGAGATGTGTCCCCCTATAGGTTCTCCACCACCTGCCCTCCTTCCCCGCTGCTTCAGAGTTCTCTGCTATAGGGCTTCATGGTAGAGAAGGAACTGAGGGTGGTTCACCCGCACAGTGCTATATAACAACGGGATGGGGCACAAGACTGACTGTCACGCAAGCATGGGCCGAACAGACACTGCTATGAGAACTCCCTAATCAAAGGTGTGGGAGGCTCTGTCACACCTAGAGTGGAGCGCCCATAGGGGGAGACATCTCGAAGAACCACAGTTACTGCACAAGGTGAGCAGCCATTTTTTGTTTGTCACAAAGGATACTGGGCCCTATTTATAGCTTGTAAATTGCAGGTATAAATGGTAATACCAGGTTAATACCTCTGCTGTGAAGGAGCCCACCCAGGTCTGGAATGAATATGGGGTACATTCTGCCATCTCTTACACTGGTAGAATGTGTGGGATCCTTTAATTGGATTGCAGTGCACTGACAAAAAGTCTCTTACTGATACATGCTGTCTTCTGTTCTGTTTCAGAAAATCTCTCATCTGATTCAGCTCTCTCCAGCCCAAGTGCCCTGAATTCCCCGGGGCTGGGGATTGAGGGCTTGAACCGTAGGAGGAAGAAACGCACCAGCATAGAGACCAACATACGTGTGGCCTTAGAGAAGAGTTTTCTGGAGGTCAGTGAATCAGTTGCTCTGCTCAGCCAATTTGTAATAAAATAGAATAGTGGCTTTGTTCAAGAACATGTCCATTAAGGTGAAAAGAATTCTGCAGCTAGGAGCTTCACTAAGCAGACATTGTAAGATATGCAATGATTGTTGAGGATACAATATAAGAAATAATATATTTAAGATGCATATTAAACATAATAGACATTAAATATTTAAAGTAGTATATCTTCAGTGTGTGTCTGTCATCTAGTTGTTGGAACAGGGGCCTGGGAGTCAGAACTCCACAGTTCTCATCCCTTGTGTTCTGTCACAGATTTGCTGAGATATCTTAGGCAAATCATATAATCGCTGCGTCTGTTTCCTCAGATATAAAACAAGGTTTGTAGAATCCTCAACTGAAAAGCACAATATAAGTTCGTTGTTGTATGTATGTGCTGATATCTTTAGCTGTGTTGGTCTGTGTGTTCATACATTTGCAGGTGTATCAATCTGTATGTTGTGGGCAGATTGTTGTTGTCAAAGGGTGGGGAAATCTGTAGTGACTTGTGAAAGTGTATTGCAAAACAGTTACAACATATCTGTCACAGGGTGTACTTGCCCTATAGCACTTCAACTGGCCAAGTGTGGTGCTGTAGTTGCTCCCTCAGTTTCCCCTAATGTCATCAACAAGTTCAGTGAAGCTTTACGTATGGAACAATACCCCTAATGAGAGGTCTGTTTATTAACCAAAGGCTCAATGAAAATACAAGCAAAACTTCACCCCAGCGTCTTAGCTGGGAGACAGTTTGAGTTTGTTCTCATCTGGGTCCACCATTCCTGTACAGCAAGGTTCTGTCGGCTCAGCTCCTTTCCTTGAAGTTAGACTTCTTGCCACTGTCTGGGAATAATCCTTCCCCAGAGCCAGAGGTCTGTGGCTATCTATCAGCTGCACCTCTTTTCTGGGGCAACATGGAGTTGGGCTTCCTGCCACTGTTTCGGAATTCCCTATCCCTCAGACCGTGCCTTCCAGGCCCCTGGTTCTGTTGAGCTCTCACAAGAGCTACTTTCCTCACAAATTTTCTGTCTCTAGGAGCCAGCCCTTTATCATGCTCATTAATTAGCTGCCAACCAACCACCAAGGGATTTCATTACTTAAAAGTAACTAAATTGGCTCATTCTCCCTTACAGGAGCCTGTCACGAGTAGTCTGGTCCTTGACTTCCCTTAAAGGCCCAGCCCCCAGAAGAGTATAATTTCATGAGAGGCTCAGAGAGGGCCATACTTAGGCAATCTTTCAATCCACTTAGTAAAGTGTATGTACCAAGGAAGGGGGAATAGTAAATATTGTACCAAGCAGAATGATCTGTATTCACCTAATTTTAATAAATTAAAAAATGTAAGTGCTGTCCCACTGGTTCTTGACAGCTGTTTTCCCTTAGTTTCTTAGTCAAAGGATATCAAGCAGTAGATTAAGGCGTGATATTGTGCACACCAGGAAGGAGAAAAGAAAAGGAAATAAGCGTCTGTGCACTTGGGGAAGGTGGAAAGAGAACCAAACATCATTTATGTTTAGACTCTTAGTTGACTGTGTGTAACTTTGGTAATTTAAGTACTGTAGTCACAAGTGCAGGATAAATTAGAGTCCAAGTCCCACCTCTGCAGGGGGCCTCCTGAACATCATTTTGTTGTGCTCTCTGTACTGACAACTTGCAGAGCATCTGATCATCACTGGTGCTAGCCCTTTTTACCTCCCTCTTTCCCATGAGGTGATGAAAGAATCTCCCCTTCCTGCAAGGTCTCAGGCTTCATCCCTGGCTTTCTGCCCTCCAGAAATTATGATTATTCCCTTCTCTCTGAAAGAAACACATGAGCTTTAACTCCCTTACCCAGCTACACTGAACACAGCTTCCGCTAGTGTTTCTTGTGACCAGAAAGATGGAGGTGGGGGCCAGATTGTGGACACACATGACCTGTCGAGAATTGTCCTGATGGAAGGGAACTTTCAAGTGGCACAGAGCCAGCACAGCCAGTTCTAACACCAGCCACACCCCAGTTTAGGGGACATGTTGGGCATAGCAGAGCTTTGCTTTGCTGGACTTCCTCTGGCCCAGGGTCCCTTAGAGACCCTAGGCAAGTGGTGTAGGTTAGTGCAGGCCCAAGGCATCTCACACTAACGATGGGGCCGGCACAGACCAGCCCCTATGTCAGGGAGCAGTAAGTGGCACCCTGTCTGCTTGAACACAAAAGAGAATCTAGCTCAGGAAGTGCTATAGGAAACATCCATGTTCAGTAGCAGTCATGTTGGGAAAGTGTAGTTAAGGAGGCATTTCAGGGAGAGGGCTTACCTCGGACAAAGCAGAAGAGGTTTTGGGGGCAACTTAGAAGAAGGAGCATTTGGGGAGCTGGGACAGAACTGTAAAATGACAAACTTGGGAGTTGGCAGCTAGGAAGAAAAAAGGGTCTGTTTAGTTGGGGAGAGGCTGGATGAGAAGAAGGGAGTTCTGAGTGTTCGGGATTCTGAACATGAAGAAGTGTCCATCTGAGGTTAGGGGATTGGGAGGATGGTCCATCAGGTCCCACTTTTGCTTAATCCATTCCTGACAACATCTGCTTTGATAAAACAGGAAGGCCTATTCCAGCTATATGTTGTTCCTTCCTCCAGGTCTTTAGTTTAGAATCCTGCTATGCTGGACCCATAATGCAGCACTCATCAAAGTAATTTCCATGATTTTCAGATATTTCTCATTTTTCAGAACCAAAAGCCTACCTCGGAGGAGATCACCCTGATAGCTGACCAGCTGAACATGGAGAAGGAGGTGATCCGCGTTTGGTTCTGTAACCGGCGCCAGAAGGAGAAAAGGATCAACCCACCCAGTAGTGGTGGAACCAGCAGCTCTCCCATCAAAGCAATTTTCCCTTGCCCAACCTCACTGGTAAGAATCAAGAAATGAAGATGGCTCAGCACATTGGAAAAGATCAGTCACTCCTCTCCTCCTGGCAATAGTGGGAATTACACATATTTTTCACCTGCTCTGTGCAGCAAACTTATTCTCACAAATGTAACTGACATACTTAATTGGCATTTTCAATACTATATTTACTGGTTCCCACTGTGTACTATAAACAAAAGGTAAATCTTACAAATCAGCCAGTGTGAATGCATTATTTAAATACGCAAACTGAACTTCTAACTTGATCTGGCAGTAATTTACAGCTGACTAAATACCACTCACAAAGATGCAGTTTATATTACTGCTTTGGACATATGCTAAGAAATCATAATTCACATAATTCCAGATCGGTGTACTTATCCAAAACCCTTTCTTTAAAAGGAAAAAAATGTTACCCAGTTCCATCCTTTCCATCTTGTTCCAGTCATGTTAATGCATTGAATCAGCAGTAGATCCTATCAGTTCTTAGGCGGTAGTTGGCAGACTGTCACCCATACCTGATTCTACTATTTTTGTCCCTTTGTGGCAGGGTTAATGTATATCAAAGTGAAAAAACACTTTAGCTAATCTTTGTAACTCATTTTTTCTAAACCTTATATTTGGCTAAGGTAAACACAAACTTACTGAAAACATACGTAAACAAAGTGCGCTCCTTGAACTCCACGCCACCATTGTTCAGGGACGGCTGTTGTTATCTAGACAAGGTAACTGAGCTTCTGATTATATGAAGTCTGTGGATTTCATGTAGCCTATGGCTAGTCTATTCTATATAGGATTTTATACTGCCCTCATCATTGTATCTGAGCACCATACAGTAGTGTATTAAATGTCATGACTAACATCTGTCATGTGTGGTTTGTTCTTTCTGTCATCCTCTTCTCAGGGATGAAATTGTGTGTGTGCAGTGTAGTGTTTGTTTAGAAGGGGTTTTCTTCTGTTTTTTATACATGTTGCTGTGTATTTGTTAGAGAAGGCAAGGTTGAAGAATTGCATGTTGCACTTGGAGCAGAAGGTGGTGAGGTTTGTGATGGTTTTAGTTCCTGTGGGAGTTCTCAGACAAGCCCTTGAGAAGATTCTGTCACTTGCAACCACAAGTTTTACATTGTGGTGTAAAGTTACTTTACGCTTAAGGAGCAGAAGTGCCAACCCTGGTTTTTCATCTGGGAGTTTTAGGCACTATTACAGCTATGTTGGGCCCAGGCGATTGAGAGCCTTGAAGATAAGGACCAAGACCTTGAACTTGACTCTGTGTTCTGTAGGAATCCAGTGTAGAGCATGGTGGACAGGTTTAATGTGCTCGCAGTAGCCTGTGTTGATGAGGAGATGTGCTGCAGCTCTAGCTCTTTCTCTTTTTATTTTTGTTCATAGAGTGTTAGAGCAAAATGCTAACAGGTTCATCCTTCTCCAACCTAGTTTTAAACACGTCAAGCGACAGTCGTCACTTCCTTTAAGAGTATCTTCAGCAATCTTACAGATTTCCCTATTAGAAAGATTTCCTAATCATTTACGTACATTTTCTTTGGTTTAGTGCTATCCCTTAGTCTTATTTTGGGTTGTCCAAGAGGGTATAACTGATAATCACTTTCTTTCATTGATGTGTATATGCTTCATATATTTATAGACAATTAGCATGTCTTGGATGTACATACATACACTTCTAGTCCTTGATATGGATATTTAATTTTTAATCTTTCCTAATAAATCAATCCCTTCAGCCCATTAATCACGTTGGTTGATTTTCTCTGAATTCCCTTCAGTTTATTTATAGCTTTCTTCCATTAAGTTGTCCAGAAGTAAAGGCAGTTGATTTCATTTGAATGCTCTGAAAGAGGTCCTTCAAACCAAGAAAACACACAGAAGTGAAGTTCAGATAATTTGGTTGATAAAGGTGAAACAAGACACTACTTTTAACAATGGTAAAACACCTATCTGACAAATAAGACTAGGATGCGTTGGTGCTTGGAGTGCCTTCAACTAGAGGAAGTGAATTGGAGCTTGAGAAGTATCAGAAAAAGCATGTACAAAAAATTTTTTATTGGGTCCCCTAAGTCCTCTCTCTGAGAAAGTCTCCTTGAACACTTGCCTCTTGTTAAATGAGGATAATTGGAAATCCTGAGATGCTGGATGTTGATGGTTAGTTCCTGATGAGCCACCACTAAGCTATTGGGACAGTATGTGTGTGGTGGATTTGCTGTTGCTTGTTGTCAGGTCCATGAGTGGAGCAAATGTCACTAATGTGGTCCCAGACTCTGCCTGTTCAAGTACTAAAGCAATCGAATGAATTTAAAAAAATGTGTAGGATTTCCCATCCTTATCTTTGGTTGAGGATGAGAAGATAAGAACGCAAGTCAGGTAACTCTTTTCCTTCTTACGAGTTGTACAGTTATGTTCTCTTCTAACCTGTAGGTGGCAACCACGCCAAGCCTTGTGACAAGCAGTGCAGCTACTACCCTGACTGTCAACCCTGTGCTCCCTCTGACTAGTGCTGCTGTAACTAGTCTGTCAGTCACAGGTAAGATACAACCTAAGCTGTATCAGCACAGAAGGTGTTTCAGAAAACCACTGCAGTCAGGGATAACGAATTCAAATGATAGAATGGAAGTTCAGTGGATTATTGGTGGTGTCTACATATCAAACAGATAAAGATTTTAAGGTGAACAATATTTTGAGATTTTTGGTGCTCCTGTGTTGCAGTCTAAAATCTCTGTAGATAACTGGCTCTTGGATTTGTTGTATCCTTGTAAGACATGTTGTGTAGGAGTCTCAGATGCCCATAACCTGTCTAGCTGAAGGTGAAAAATAGAGAACCAAAGGAGTGCTTTGTGGGGAGCAAAGGATTCTCTGGGAGCTCACAAATATAGCTTAGGTATACAGGTGCGAAGAAATAATATGGAGGATTTCCCTTCTCTCTGCCCAGATACTCAATTTGACTTCAGTCTGATTTCCTTCCTCTCATCTCACTCCCACTTGCCTGTTTAAAATTTTTTAATTACAAAGCAATTCAGTGTTGATGGAAGACTCTGGACTGACTGTCCTAGAAAGTGAAGTCCTCTGTTTTGCCACAGAAAGCTTCCCTTACACTGCCCTGCCAATGTGCCTCAGTCCTATGTTGGAGTAATTCATTTTTCATGGCTGTTCAGTCTCGCCTTTCTGCTGAGACCGTCACCCCTGGTGACCTAGAAGCAAAAGGCACTCCCGTTACCAACCTGAGCCACCCAGCTTCCTCCTGAAGAGTCAGTTTGATTTGAAATCCACACTCACCAGTCCCCCATTCTTGAATTCACTGTGCCCTTCAGTCCAACAGAGACATGTCTGTCTCACTTCCTCTTTCCTGTGCTGTCGAGTCCAGGTGGTAGGGGTTTCTATTCAAGCATGCCTGTGCTTTGGACTGTTCTAACTGGAATCCTCCTTCCAGGCACAACAGAAACCACCTCCAACAACACAGCAACCGTGATCTCTACAGCACCTCCAGCTTCCTCAGCAGTGACTTCACCCTCTCTGAGTCCTTCCCCTTCTGCCTCAGCCTCCACTTCCGAGGCATCCAGTGCCAGTGAGACCAGCACAACACAGACAACCTCTACTCCCTTGTCCTCCCCTCTTGGGACCAGCCAGGTGATGGTGACGGCATCAGGGTTGCAAACAGCGGCAGCAGCCGCCCTACAAGGCGCTGCACAGTTGCCTGCAAATGCAAGTCTCGCTGCCATGGCTGCTGCAGCGGGGCTAAACCCAGGCTTGATGGCACCCTCACAGTTTGCAGCTGGGTAAGGATTGTCTTTGCATTCTAGATGATAAATGAAGAAAATAGTACAGGGGCTCTGTTCATCATGATTTTTTAATACTATGTTTTTCACCTACACCTCTCAAAGGGTTTACAAATACTAATGAATTAAGCCTTGCAACACTCCTATAGCGGTGTTATCCCCATTTTATAGATGAGGAAGCTGAAAGGTTTAGTGACTTGATCAGTCATACATTAAGTCAGTGGCCGAGCTGGGTGTAGAGCCAAGGAGCTCTGACTACTATTTCCTTGCTGTAGCCATTAAACTACACTACCCATGTTGCTAACTTTAAATTGAATTGGCATCTTAGATTCCCTTCGTTCCCCTGTGTTCAGTTCTGTTCCTTTCGACCCAGAGCAAGATGGAGAGCACCTGAATATTTATTGGAAATCATTCTGTTGCTGCTGTGTGACTAAAAAACTATTGCTGTAAATGCCTTGTAGTTCTTTCAGTTTCTCTTTATTCTCATTTCCTTCTGCTAGCTCTCTAAAGAGTTGCAGTGGCCCAAGAAGTCACTGTGAGTGTAATTCACGGCAGTAATAACTGCAGCTTGTGCTTTTTGGGTGCCTGTTCTTCAGGCTTGTTGTTAAGCACAGTGTTGAAGGGCAGCTGTGAAGACCACATTGTGGTATGGGAGAAATTAAAATACTACAGGAAATGTTGTTTTTTTAAAAATCAGACCCTTGAATTCTACCTTCTTTATCTATATGATGGTCTCTGAATAGTAACACAGCCTCCCTTGATCTCTCTCCTGGTCTGTTTTCTTGATATCACAGAGGTGCCTTACTCAGTCTCAATCCAGGGACGCTAGGTGGTGCTCTCAGCCCAGCTCTGATGAGCAACAGTACACTGGCAACCATTCAAGGTTAGTAAACTTCCTTTTAATATATAACTGATTTTGTTACTTGTGTGGTTTACTCGCCAAAAAAAGAGAGGCGACATTCCTCATCTCCAAAATTCAGTAGTCGGGGACAGAAGCTTTACAAAGATGGCACACAGATGATTTTTTTTTTTTTTTTTTAGAATTGTGAATGGTAAGATACAAACTTGGGAGGCAGGTTAGGACAGCATACAATCTCAGGGATTTGGTGGTGGTGATAAGGAAGAATGTGGTGCTGGGGTGTGGGGGGGAGGGACTGCATTCATTTTGGACATGGAGGGACAATTTTAACAGGCTGTTTAGAGATCTTCTTTTTACAGCTCGTTTAGCAGATGCTTTAGTATAGTTGTCTTGATCAAGGCTGATAGCAGAACAGTTCCGAGAACAAGAAACCTGAACACAAAGATCCAAGATCAAGACTTTCAAAATGTGTATCTAAAGTCCTTATTTAGGAGCTATAAATCCATAAAATAAGGAGTTAATTCTTTATTTAAATGTCTAAATGAGTGGCCTGATTTTTTCTTGTGTGGCGCATCCAGCAATTTCCATTGACTTTACTGAGAACCATTTGGGTTCTCATCACCTCTGAAAATCAGGCCAGTTATTTATAAACTAAATTTAACTATTCAGTTAAAAAAAAAAAAATCTTGTACCAAGTGCACAAAGAGCAAAGAAGAATGTTATTCTGAGGGCAGATCTCATGGCAAATTGAACCCTGGGTAGATTTTTGAGGTAGTATGTAACTATTAAAGTGCATCAAAATTTAAAAAGGCTTTACTCAAACAAGTCAAGTGACCTTCATATTGTAGTGGCTCCCATTCTGTGTGAATGTTTTCGCTTCTAGATTCCTTGAATAGGCCTTTTTCTGGCCGGTAGGATGGAGCAATATGTCCCCACTAAGGTCCTGATCCAAAGCACATTGAAGTCAGTGGAAAGACTCCCTTCAGTTTCAATTGGTTTTGGATCAGTCCCTTAGAGCCATTTCAGTTTCTGCAAAATCTTATCCAGTGCTCTCAGGGAGCTTTCTCTCAGTAAGTACTGGCTCCTGTTATAGGGTGACAGAACAGTGGAGGGCAGTTTCCCTGGTGCCAGACATTTCACCCTGTGCTGATGCTTTGAGAACATTCAGATGGGAAATTCTGAGAACAATCAGATGACTTGGGATCGGGTTTATATTTTTAAGATTTGAAAATATCCAGCGAGATGCCTTTAATTTGTATTCTAGATAGGAACTTTATTTTTATATTTTTACAAAACTTAAAAACAGCTTGTGCTTAGCTTCAGCTGCTCAGCCTTTCCCAGCCAAAACGCAACCAGGTGGCAACTGCAGCTGATCTGGGTAGTGTGAAGTGATGCTCCAAAGACATCAGGTACCACATGGTTGAATTATGCCACGTGCTTGCGCAGTTACTTAGCTGCATGAGGCTGACAACATACAGTTACTGTAGAACAGATCCTGGTTTTCCAGAAGCAGATAAAAGCAGTTTTTTGCAGATAGTTTGAAAATGAGTTAGGATTATACACTATATAATGCATTAAAATATTTCATAACCTCTATTCTTTTCTTTTATGTAACATATCTTGTTAAAACAAACTCTGGATTCCTTTTAGATAGACACGTGTTAGGGAGATATAGGTAAAAATGAATAGCAAAAAACTTCTTTTCGACCCTTCTCTATTCTTTGGGATAGTGAGAGGATCCTCCCTCTTACATGCTTAGTTCTGCCTGCCTCGATAATGCCAAATCCCATTTTCAACTGATTTGTGAATCTTTCTATGTTGCGTTTAAGTAAGAGGAAGGAATCTTTAGTCATGGGAAGAAGGCTATGCTCAGAAGAGGGAAAACTGAAGTTCTGTTGCACTTTGCTGCATACCTCTGTGCTGTTAATGCTAGTGTTCTCTTCCCTGCACTTTTCTCCCTTTTTAGCTCTTGCATCTGGTGGCTCTCTTCCAATAACATCACTGGATGCAACTGGGAACTTGGTGTTTGCCAATGCTGGAGGTACTCCTAACATCGTTACTGCCCCATTGTTCCTGAACCCTCAGAACCTTTCTCTGCTCACCAGCAACCCAGTTAGCTTGGTCTCTGCAGCTGCCGCTTCCGCAGGGGCCTCTGGACCAGTCGCCAGCCTTCATGCCACCTCCACCTCAGCTGAGTCCATCCAGAACTCTCTCTTCACAGTGGCCTCTGCCAGTGGGGCCACTTCCACCACCACTACTGCCTCCAAGGCACAGTGAGCCGGGCTGAGCTGTGCTACCACCAGCCTGTTTCACTCTGCAGTGGGATTGGCTGCCAGCTGGGTTTATAAACTGAAAAGTGTGATCGGCTTCCTCTCGCCATGTTGCTGGGGACAAGGGAGAGACGGAAAAATATAAAAACAAAACAGGAAGGATTTAAAGCTGGGACAGACATTTGCCTAATTTTATAATAAACACTGTCTTTTCAGGATCGCTTCATGGATCGGAGAGCTTTCTAACCAAAAATGTAAAAAAACAAAAAACAAAAAAACAAAAAAAAAGTGAAAGGACTACTTATCATTTCCAGCAGTCACAATGACAAGTTAAGGTGGGTTATCAACTCAAACATAGGAAGGGGATTTCTTAGTTCTTTTGGTCTAAATATCTTTTTTTTTTTTTAATTATCATTTTATAGGTCTGTTGTACAGGCCGTTATGTCATACAAGGTGTTTATAATCGTATCAATCGTGTTGGGGGTTCCTTTCTTAACTGGTACAATTTAGGCAGGCCTGTATTACTGGTGTATCTCTATTATTATTATGGTTATTATTATTATTATTATTTTTATATGTATGGTTTGGACGCATTTGTCTTTGCTCCTGGATCGTTTTCAGTGAGCTCCCACGCCATGAGGAGAGGGGAGAGAAAGAGGGAAACATGAGGAGGCTTCCTGTCCTAATCTCCTGGGAGTATTCCTCACAGTTTCCTCATCCTTGAACTTGTTTTACAGTGACTTATACAGAGGTATTGAGAGAGAGAGATTATTTTCACCACTTTTGCAGGAAGCTCGATGTAGAGGCAGCAAGTTGTGTGCAAATCTCCAGGCTAGTCTGTGCTTTTATGGTGAGGGAGGTAGAAATAACTTCTATACTACAGCTCTCCTTCATCCAACTACTTAGGCTAAAGGGCCAATTTTGCTCTGAGTTGCATGAGCAGGATTTGGCACTTAGAGCCCAGACTATTTCAGACATCTGTTTTGGTGGTTTTGCTGTATTGTTAGGATTTTGCCCCTTTAAAAAAAAAAAAAATCCTAGAAATGCAAAGTTACCTGAGGATGCCAATATCACTAATATCTAAAGGCATCCACAGTCCAAGTTTCCTAGCAACTGACTTGGCACAGGATTTTGAAAGGTGAAACTGGCTTCTCTAATCAAAGGAATATTCCCTTGCATGTTTTTTGTTGTGTACAGGAAGCTGCATTGGAACAGTTTTCCACTGGCAAGTGCTTCTATCTACAGGGATAGATGTCAGGTCTGTTGGAACAGAAGTTGCTGCCAATTTCATGCCAACACAATCGTAAGAAAGCACTCTCGGCTTCCTTGCGCCCTTGTTCTGTTTTAAATAGCTTGTAGGTTTTTTTTCTCTACCACCCTGCTTGGTGCTTTGGAAATAAGAGACAGTGACCAATCAGCTGGAATTGTCCAGCCTGATGTGGGAAATAACACCAGACTATCTAGTCAACACTGGGACTTTGCACACATCTTGGTGTTCTCACATGGTCTCTGAGAAGTGATGTTGCTACCTTGATCAAAATGGCAATAAGCATCTCTGACTAGAGGCTCAGTGTTGGCTTGCTGACGTAGCTGTGTCTCTAGGGTTGTTTCCAATCCACATAACAAGGAGCATCTCAGAACAGAGAGCTTATGAGAATGGATGAGGAAGAATAGTAGGTTTCCAGAGGTTAGTGATGTATATTTTTTAATATACCAATCGAGTTTCTGAACCAAAAAGATTTCTAAAGAGAAGACTGGATCTCTGCAATGCAGTTCACTTTGAACTTTCCATTCCTGTTGGATTTAAAAGTTTCTGCCATGTGTTTAAAACACATTTACACTCAGTTAGGGAGGGTGTCACAAGCACCCCCTCTGTGTTTGGTTTTGGTTTGGGGGGTGGTGTCACCAGGGAGTTTCAAGATAGCAAGTTTATGTAGTTAGGTTGGCTTTTGCTGATCATCAAGGGGGATCTTGGAATCTCTTACCACCTGAGATCAATAAGACAGCAACTTAAACCCAACATACACTTTGGTCTGTGACCCAAGTGTGTGGGATTTACATTTATATTCAAATGGCAGAAACTCTTATCTCTTCTTCCCCTCACTCATGTTTTCTCTGTTCACATCTTACTCTCTCTCTCCACCTTCCTGTTTCACAGATTATTTAAAATAATTATCCATAAAATTTCAAAACTAGTGAACTGCAAGCAGGGAAACTAACAAATGTCCGTCCACCATTTGTAATGTGTTCTTGATTTTTTTTTTTTGTTTTTGTTTTTTAAAACTAAGCTTGAACCAAAGTCAATTTCTAGCAAGCTGCTGTACTAATGGACTAGTTTGTATAAGTGCAGTTCAGACGCAGAGAGGCGATAGATGCTACTGACAATTTCTTTTTCATTTGTCTTGTTTTTTATTTTATATAAAAGTTGCTGCTTGTTTTAATCTTTTTTGGGGGGGATTGATAATTTGTATATCCTTGGGGCAGACTCTTAACTTGGTTTTTTTAACTAGGGTTTTTTTTGTTTGTTTGTTTTGGTGTGTACATAGAATGGCAATGTCAGGTGATTACTAATCCAAGTGGTCCCCCACTCCTCCACCCTACCGGTTAAATAAATTTAAATATTCTGGTGTGATTGAAGTCTCTGTGACTTCAGTCTGTGCAGAAGATTTTAGGGCTATGAATAATATAGAATATAAATTGCCCATAGTGTAACAGCTTTGGAGCAGTAAAAGGTATAGATGGGTATGATTCAGGGAGGGAGAAGTGGAAGAGGAGATGCTGATTACCCACTATGTTGGTCTAGAGGCCATAGCATTGACTATAGTTTCTACCAAAGGAAATATCAGTCCCATGGGACTTGTAGTCAGCCAAGTAAGAGGGCAGGAAACGCTGCAGCTACAATGCTTGCACTTGGGTCTGAAAATTCCCAGTCACCTCCAGGCACTCTTAAAAGTAAAATTTACCAAGAGCCTGTTTGTTAAAGGGCATTCGGATGATATCCTCTCCACTGTATCCTCTGTTTTCTGATGGATCTGGGGCTGGGAGGTGAGTCCTATGCGTTTATCTAGGAAATACAAAGAATTTGGGCCTTAAATCAGCATAAAAACCTCTCTCCGCAGTTCAAAGGGACTGTGCCATCAGTTGTCTAGATGATTTTTAACTTCCCATTCTTGTTGGTTTGTGGCTGAGAGGGGGGTGTGATGCATACATATCTGGAACACTAATGCAGCTTGGATGGTTATTTATTATAAAAAAATTGATTTTTCCTGATTCCTTTTGCATTGGTCACATGGCTTTGGTGTGAGCACCTTAAACTTTCCCTCCCTCATCCTTTGCTAACCAATCACCCTGTAAGGGGCCCAGACTTCAGGGAGCTTCTTAGTGGTCTCTTCTGAAAGAAATTGGAAACTTTAAGTAGCCACATGTCCAAGGAGGTTTGGCTGAAATGCACTTCTTTTTGCCCTGGGTAACTGGCAGTAGATTGTCCTATCCTACCACACCTTCCACTCCCCCCTTGGCTCAAGCCCAGTGTGTTTTTATTTCCTATCAAAGAACATGTCAATGTCTGATTGTAGACCTATTGTTCAGTAGGTCTGCCTGGACCCTGCTCATCATTGGTAGTATTGTTTCCTATTGTGGACGTTGGTCACCTCTACTATTTTAGTTAAAGGACAGAGGAGAAGAACCCAGAGATGAGGTTGCAGTGGCATTATATTTGCGTAGTAAGACTATACATGCACACTCTTTCATAACTTGAGATGGATGAATGATCGGGTATTGGAATGTGGTGGAAATTGCTGTTTTAAACCTTAATCATGACTGCAACAGAAACTGAAGTGTCTACAAGGATATTCAATAGTGATTGGTGAATTAGAGACTGAGGATTTAAGGATTGGAGTGGAAAAGTATTGTCCCACAGATTCAAAAATTAGCCAACAGCGGCTGAGGGCATTATTTTGCAGTTGAGGTTACTTTTCCACCACAAAGGGTGATAGTTTACTCTTTATAATCCAAAAATACAAGTCAATATAGACGTCTTAGCACAAATGGTTTTCTGTTGCCCATAAATGTCATCATCTGTCTTAAATCCATCACTGAGTGAATAGACTGTTCCTTTGTTGTTTTATGGGATTATCTCTGAGAATTTTGAATTCAATAGACTTTCGCGTGCGCACACGCACACACAGAAATAAATAAAATCAGGTTTCATTGGCCAGGACCAGAAGAAATTCCTTAAAGCCCTTGTACATGGAAGGGAAAATTGCAAGTTATCTAGTCATCTTTCTGTACCACAACTCCATAAAATTCCATATATGTAGATGTCTGGGCTTGTTTTCTCATTTCCAAGCATATCTTATAGCAGGTAAAAGCTAGTGGGACAGACCGATTCACTTTATAATCTCCAAGGACAATTAGGATATGTATAGTAGGCCCAGGAAGGGACATATGTATGAAGAAACACAAGAAATAAACACCTCCCCAAAAAAGATATGAAGAAGGGGAGATACACAAATGTTTCTTCAGGAAAAAGTCTTAAAAGGGTGATGGTCATGTGAATTTTGGTAGAGAACTCATTCAGGTTTGGTTCAGACAAATCTGAACCACTCAGTTGACCTCTGCCCCAGTAGTTAAGGGATGAAAGATTCATGTATTGTTCACACACCTGCACATACTCACCTTCAGATGGAGTCTCCTGACAAATGTGAATTTTGTGAGGAATCCTAAGCCAGTTAAAAAAGAATATTAGTTTATTTACTGACTTGTTACGTAGTGTATATGCAAGGAATGCTATATATAACATGCATGTGTGTGTATGTATACACATGCACTATTCCAGTTAGTACTGAGATATACTCCCTACATAAGAAAAATCCTGGTTTATAATAGTTTTTGTATTGTGCTCAGAGCCTAAGTACAATATACTTTACATTTTAAAAAATTGTTTTAATTGGGAGACTCATGACAACACATCATTGCCCCAGACCTACTCAAATATATCCTCTGCCTTCAATAAGTAAAGTAACACAAATTAATTAAAAGCCATATTAGACCCAAAAAAACACTTTGCCATGAAGTCCATAACACTTGGGCTTTGATGGACTATCAGTGGGAACACAATGGAAAGTAGAGGGTCCTCATATGAAAATGCTCTGCTGGTAATACTGGACAGCTGTGTTCAAGTCACTAATAAGACCATCCATCAGATTTTAACTGTTGTGATACAGCCCAGAAATGGAGACATTCTCTTCAGGAATTTGAATCACATGCCCTTGTAGGCTTCAAAAATTCCATCTTTGAATTTCACCTGGAAGTGAACTGGCTGTTATGGCCATAATGGAGAGATTTCTAAAGAAAACATTCAGGATGTATGTAATAATACATATGTTAACTTACTTGGAAATGCATTTTGTCATTTGTTGCCCCTTTTGGGATAACAAATCTTGATATTAATCTCAACAGAAGTAGGAACAATATATGAACTCACATGTTACATGGCCTTCCGTTTGTGCTGATTCAGCTTTCCGCTGCCCCTCCACCCTCATCTCTTTCTTGATCTTCTTCCCCGTACAGCATGGGAGGAGGTTATTTTAGTCTATCGATTACATGAAAACAAAATGTAACTTGGATCTATCGGTGATGTCTTTCCAGTGGACTTCTTAAAAATCAAAATAATTTAGGCAACTTTTTAAGAAAAAAAAAAAGAGGGAGGAGGAGTAAGAGACTCTCCTTGTGCTCAGGGGGCAGCGGAGGAGTGCCTGTTACCAAAACAACTTGAGGGAATTCTCCCTGCACGTCGGTAACAATGATTAGGTCAGTGATAGTGATTTACTGTTTTCTCTGAGGTCACACAGCATAAAGCATAGGTTCATCCATACCTTTAGGTTGTGGCCTCTGAAAATAAGTAGCTACTATTATAAAGAACATCACTGAAGAGTTAGAATTTTTGTTGTTCCTCTATTGGTTTAAGTAGAAAATACCCAGCAGTCCACTGGAGCAGATTCCATTTTTCCTCCTGGTTGAGGTGTTGAAAGTGCAGAAGTGCTGAGTCCTCTATAAAGCATATTCTTGGAGTAGAGTAACATTCAATAAAACAAAAAGACCATTTTTTTTCATAAAAGAACAGAACATCTTAACTCCATTGCAGTTGGAGCCATATAATGGAGGCACAAATGACTTCCAATTTACCTTAATTGCCAACACATAATATTTTGCTAAATAAAATTGTCCTCTTCCCAATTTGAAACCGTACTTTACAAAATTGTCAGAAAGGAGCTCTTTTTGTAATGGAAATAGAGGCTTTGGGACAGACTAAATACTGCATCAGATCCTAGCTATTGATGACATTTGGTTCAAAAAAATAGCATTTCCAATTATCTTATTGTTATCTTTTGGCAAAATCCCTAATGTGAACTCTTAACACGTCCATTTAACTGTGGTATGGCCAGTTAAACTGAACTCTGTTGTCTTGAGGAAGAATAGGATTATCTTCAGTTTGTATGTACATGTGTACACACACACATATATTGAGAATAAATTCAGTTTGGTCTTTTATATACTCTCTCGCTTATAGATTAGACATTATTAAAGGAGGAATCGGACTGGTCGATGAATGCATCCATTATATAGTTATCCATCTGTAACCAGCCTGCTCTGGATTTGTTAGCCAGTTTTTACAAAAATATGACCCAGAAAGTTGTTAAAACAATTCACACTTCAAGAAGTGCAATTGCACTCTTTCTACTTCTTAGAAGAGTCAAAATCAACTCCTATTGATGTCAGTAGGAGTCTCCCTTGCCTTCAGTGGGAGTTGAATCAGATCATAGAGTATCTTAGACACTTTACAATGGATCTCCTATCTTACAGAGCATTTAACATGCAAATGTCTTTGGTACAACCACCCTTCTTTTTGTGTACTGTTAAGATACAGGCATTGCATGTGGACACAGTGTGATCTGCTCTTTTTTCTGATCTAACGCAAATCTGCTGGCTGTTTGACTCATGATTTGCAAATTATTATGTTCAGTATCTTATGTATTGCCACCCATTCAGAATAGGATCAGATTCCATAAACCTAAAAGCAGTTTACGTCAAAGAGCAGTGAAAGGAAGGAAATGTGTATACACATGCATGCACCCATATAGCTCTACACATGGACAGTACAATATAAAAACACGATTGTTCTCTTCTGACTTTCATCATCAATGAGGAGGCTAAGTGGAATAATTACCACTTGCCATGTGACTCTATCCTGCCTATAATTAAGGTGGTAATAGAGTTGAGCCTTCATGTATTCTTCTTAACAGTTTGGTATGTACACACATTCCTGCTTTCGTCCCTAGCCAGTAAATCCAGATGGCAATCTGATTGCATACTTGTACCAATCCAACTCTGTCCTCCTTTTTCTTTCTCTCATATGCATGCCCATACCCTGAATGAACAGACTACTCTGAGCTTTCATTCCCTTGGGGCTCCATCTGGAGGGTTTTAGAGACTGCTGTGGAACTACAAATAATGTTATCCTTGGGGAAAAGAGAGTATGTGGTACAGAATAGATTGGTGTGGTCAGGTATGTCAAATGTACCAGATATGGCTTTTCTGACTAAATTCCTTTTCATGGAGCATCTCTTGGGCTTTATGCCAGTACTCCCTGCAAAGTATGCTTTGCTTGGGTGAATCTCCTTGGAAGACATTTCAGTTCCTGTCCCTGAGTAAGTGGAGGGTCCTCAACTGGAATAATCTGGGTCCCACTCCTTCCCTTCCCTTCCCTCCCCCTCCTTCAGTAAGAGGTAGCACCACAGAGATGTGAGAACAATGCTTGTGGGTAGCAGCTGGCTTCTGGCACCTTCATAAAATACCTCAGCATAGCTTAGCATTGTCACAGAACTGAAAAATCAGAAGAGAAAAACAAACTTTATAAATAGTGGAGATAATTCTAGCTGTAGAGTTTAGTTGAACTGATGTTTATTATGATTGATAAACATGATTATGCTGTATGTATTCGAGATCCTGTTGATAGGTTACAACTTTATAGGGTTGGGTGGGGGCGGGTGGGTGTTGGGGAGGGTGGGGGAGCGAAGGGAGTTGACTCTGTTAGAAGGAAAATGTTGCTCATGAATTTTTTTCCTTGTATCTGTCTTGCCAAAGGAAACATTTTGTTGCTCCTGGGTTTGGGATTGTTGTTTGGTTGGTTTATCTGTGGTCTAATCTGCAGCACAGCACATGATGGCATGCAGGTTACTGATTGGGTGGCTGTTCAGGGTCCTTTAGGTGCACACATGCTTTCCCCTCCCTCCCTGCCATTTCCTTATGAATAATAAGGGTCTTTGTAGGGATCTAAAGATCAGGCAAGGTGTATATATATATATTGGGAGCTTGGGGGAGAGGAGATGAATATATTGGGTCAGATTCAGCCTAGGTATACATCCATTTTAGCCAGTGGAGTTGCACCAGGGCTGAATTGGGGCCATGGCATTTAAGTTTGGGAAAGAGAGAACAGTTGTTGCATCTTAATCTGAGAGAGCAAAATGAAACAGGTTCCTTTTATCCCCCTTGTCTTGTTACTGAATGTAGGGCTTGTAGTGCTTGATAATAGGTTGAAAACTTTTTAAACACTTCCTTTTCTAAAAGCAATGCTAATCCTGTCTAGACCAAAAACTACAAAAGAAAAAACCAAACTGAGAAGTGAAAGCTAACCTGCTCTTAGCACCTGGCTGGTGTACCTGAAAGGATCGAAATACTGTGAGTCAGTCTGGGGGGAGGGGTGTTTGGGGAGGAGGGAAGTGCATTCTTCTCATGGTGTTTGTCTTGACTTTGGGGTGGGAGTACTGGGGGAAGTGGAGATGACTTGGGAGGGATTCCTAGCCTCTTCCATCCTGACTTCAAGGCATCCCTTCCATTCTTCCGACTTCCCTAAAGAGGGGTGGGGGTGGGGAGGTGAGTGCGCGAGTGAGTTTTTGAGTGGTTGTGTGAATCTAAAGAGGTGAATTTCTAAGGAGCTCAGAGCTCCTTTGGGATGGGAGAATTTCCAATGGCTTGGTAGGGAACCAAAGGCACTGATAAGTCGTCAAATCTGCTGTTGTCAGAGCAGATAAGAGGAAAAGCTGGGCCTTTTTCGCGCTTTGGGTGGATGTCCCTTTCTGCAAGGATCTCATCTCCTGTAGGTGTTGCCGCCTTTTTGTGCATAGGGATGTTTTGGCTCTGTGAGGACAAACTGCAAATGGGGATTGCTCAATGCGGCAGCTTAGGTCTCAGCTGCTGCTGGAAATAGGAAAAACTGTTCCCTTCAAATATGGAAGCAGGGTTACCAAGGTCAGAGTCCCTTCCAACATCCTGCATGTGCTGTCTTTCTCTTCTAAAGATGGGGGACCCAGGAGACTCTTTATTTACTCCCCAAAATAGCCATGTACATTGTCATGCATTGTGCTATTGGGTTGAGTTGTTTTATCAGTGAACCTGGCGAACGCTTGTGAAGAAAGGGAAAGGGTGGAAAATAGATTAATTGTCCAGCTACTCTTCCTCCGGAAACCAATCGGGTTGCAGAACTTCACTGAAAGCTTTACTAATAGAATTGTTGTTCTGACATTATGTAAAAGTGGTATTAATATTGTGTGACTTTTCAAAGAGCTAGATAGATTTATAGGTAGGTAATAGGGATATTGAAGAAATGACTTCTCAATTATAAGAGCACTTGGAACAAAAGATGTGGAAAACAAGGTGTGCTTTAAGGTAAACAAATCTGAGGAAGGAAATGAAACAACCTGGGCGAGGGAAGGGAGGATGATATCCTTTGGGATTCCTCAGTGCTACTGAGTTGTTCTGCCCCAGGCCTGGAGTACCCCCTCTGCCTTATTTCATCTCTCTACCAAACAAGACATTGTCAAATAGCTCAGGCCAAAAATGTAATTTACCTGAAAATTGTTCTAGTCTGCTGGGGAATTTTTCCCTCCAGAGTTTTATCTAGACCATAAAATAATGTTTAATCCTCCACACTGTCCCCAAGAACTAACCCCTTCCTCCCCCTCAAAAAAATTCTCAATCTAATATTGTGGGCCCCACTAAAAATATTGCCCCCTGCTGATTTTTGTAGCAGCATCTAGTTAACAAACATTATTCTCTGAGCTGTGCTAATGTTATGGATGGTGCTGGCATGCTATGGTGCTATAGAAATCCTAAGTTATTAAACAAAGAGGATCCTATTTTGGCTCCATCCAGGACACTGGAAACTATTTATGCCAAGTCATAAACCCTGGAAATCACACAGCCCCTTCAAAAATGAAAGCTCTTATAAAAATCAAACAAAGCATCCTTGATAGTGTCCTTCAGAACAAGGCAGATTAGATTTAAAAAAAAAAAAAAAAATCAGTCCTTTCCCATGGTCTCCCTCACTGTGTTGGTCCTGGTGCCTTCTTTGCACAAGTGAGCTGAAGGATGAAATCTCAGCAAGCTGAGACACCCATACAGACTCAGAGCCCAGCTCTGCTACCGTTTGAGAACTGGGAGCAGGGCTGGACCCTCATTTTGCAACAGGGAGAGGAAAGGGGCACTGCAGAACTGCCTGCCATTGGTTTGGAGTAATGTGAATAGGGCAGTTCTGGTGGGGGGCAAGTGCTGATCACCTTGGAGAGCATCACGAGCCCACTTTGTCGGAAGGATCAGTGCAGTAGCCAACCCCATGCCTGCCAGTGCTGCTGTTGTTCCATTTCCTTCCTCGGCAGTGGTGTCTAAGGCTAGGTGTGAGTAGGTGTGGGGTGTTTATCCGCCACAGGTACAGGAGCTGTCGTATACCTCATTTCTAACTCGTAACTGAGTAACTTGCTTTAACTTTCTCCAAACCCTACAGAGTTGCCAAGTCTGCCCTCCCTCCCTTGATTAACGTTGAACTCTGGCATATAGCAGCCCGTGACCTGCAACCTGGGGAGTGACCCCCTAAAGCCTCTGAATGTCGCTGCTTAAAAGCTACTGCAAAATGAGGGCAAATTGCAATCTTATACTATTTCTTTTGGTTACAAGGGGTCCTCTCGATTAGTCTGTGAATATCCAAAGGCAGCCTCCCTCCAATCTGTGCATGAAACTTCCACAACTGCCTTTCCCCGCTCTCCTGGTGTCAGGACTACACTGAAACTCCAGGGTCGGGCAAGCCCCTGAAGGTTTCTTTCAGCTGAGTGCTGCGTACACACTACTCATCCATTTCTTTTTTTCCTTTTTTCTTTTTTTTTTTTAAAAAGGACCAAAAAAGAAAATTTTCCAAATATTTAATTTTCTTTTTTATTATTTGACAATCTTGTATCCTCCGGGCTGTCCAGAAGCTGCATCCTTGATCCCTTCCACCTTTACTTTGAATGTAGTTCCTCCACCCCCATGGGAAAGAGAAGCTTTGACAGGTCACGATGCGCTGCTATAAGCTGGGGGGGGCGGTTTCTTTGTTTTGTTTTGTTCTTTTAAAATTTCCAGCCAAAACCAAAGATTTCCTAATGATTGTATAAACTCAAAACAAACAAACAAACCAAAGACAAAGGGGCGTCTTCAGCAATCCCATCTGCGAGGCCAGCCCTGGTAGAGGAGGAAGGGGTTCCCAGCAGGCTGCTAAAGTGGAAAGACTGGCTTCCCATGGCCCGATACTGTGTGGCTCTTCCGCAGCAAAGTGGACTCAACCTGAGCCAGGCCATTTCCATCCCACCCTTTGCTAATGTGTTGCAGAGGAAACTTGCTCTTTAAGCTCACAAAAACCCAGGGTGCAGCCACTAGGGGAGGTGGGTTGGGAGAGCAGAAGGGTTGCTGCAGCCAATGGGACTCCTCAGATTGGTTGAGAAGCTGAAGACATTGGTGCATGATTGGCTGCTCTGATAGGTGCTTTAACCCTTTGGGGGCTGGGTGATGTTGATTAATACACGCTGAGGTGCACTTCTGAGCTTTTTTCCCTACTGCCCCCCACCCCCCTCCATAACTGCTTGGAAGAGGCTGTCCTGATGTGAGAAATCTCTGAAAGACGAGAGCTTTTCATTTCTCCTCTAGTTTCTTTTTTTCTATATTTTTATTATTTTTGCAGCACCACTGTGCAACTATGCATTGTATTTCTCAACCTTTTATGCTTGGTAGATGCCTGTGACTTTTTAACTTTTGGGGGGGATTGCAAATGAAGGAACTTTATACATGGATCTTTTTAATCTCAGTTGATTGGGGGGGTGTTTGGTTCTAGGGTCATACAAGCTCTATCCCAAAGCAAAATCCAAATGTTAATAATATTAGCCTGATGCAGATACCAAAGATAATTTCTTTCCTGCAGAACCTTAGACTTGTGTATTAAGTACGATTACCCAGCACTTGCATTAGTCTAACCTCAGTAATTCCAAAGCTTAGATGTATATTTTGGTATATTTCTGGGATATTAAAAAAATTGTCGTTTAAATTCTTGTTTGTTTCAGTGTAATGCTCTTAAAGTCATAGCATGGAGATAACTGAACTGTCCTATTCTTAGTAGTTTGAAATAATAGTATTTTTGTATGTTTTGGGTGTGTCTATGTATGTATTAACATAACAGTTTTCACTGCCTAGGTGTTCATAATTAAAAAAAAGAATTAAAAAGTTCTAAAGTGTACATAATATTCCATAATGAACTTCCACCAGACTGTCAGTTTGGATTGCATTTTCACTGATTGCCATTCCCAGCTGGGATTCCTTATTTTTTTTTAAGGAGACAGCATCCTTAAAGACCTGAATTTACTTTTTACATAACTGGGTCAAAGAGTGTTTTCCATTATTTTCAAGGGGGGGGGGGTGTTTTAGAAAGTGGCCCGAGATTTATTTAAGAAAAATCTTGGAAGCACATTAGTCTGAAAACTATCAGTTTCTCGTTGAGTGAAAAGTTGGAATTTGGGGAAAACCCTTTCCGCTGAAGCTGGCCAATAGCTTTTAGTGAAGCAATGAGTTGTGAATAGTCTGTGGGGGAGTCCTTTTATGCTTCTCTTCAGCCAAAGATCAATTTGCAGTCTGGGTGTTAAAACCCTTTTTCTCACCTCTCCTCCTATACTATCGCTTGTACACCTGGGGTCAGCTGAACACTTGAAGTCAGGGACCTTAATGCGACACTTGTACCCAGATGAAACACATTCTCATCTGGTCTTGAGACTGAAATGTGAAAGACCTCTATGATTTTGAAACTGATACCTTTTCCTTGATGGGGGGATAAAAGGGATGCTGTTTCTTTAAAGATGTCCCCCATCCCCCCTGCCCCAGTGGCTGCCTGCAGGTGGCTATAGGCATTGAGAGATTGTGTAGATTACAGTGAATCAGGATGAAATGGTAGATTTTGTGTAGATGCATTTGTCTGCTGTAATTTTTTATATATATTAAACTTACTGTAACTGTACAGTTCATTTCTGTTGTAAACATCATTAAACCATTTTCCAAGTGTTTTAACATGTATGCACTTGTTTGTGGTTTTTAAATACATGTCAATAGTTTGCGGGCAAAAAATTTCCTTATTTCTGTTCTTCAGATCCACCAAGCTGGGCCTGAGAGATGTTCCCTCTTGCTATTTGTCAGTTGTGCCCAACAGATTGCAGGATATTGTGGGTGATCAGCTCTTTTCTAGAAGCTTTTGCTCTGGCACCAAGGCATTGTCCACTCTTCTTTTTTAGAAGAGAAGCAGCAGCCTGGGTTGTCTTCTTGGGACCGTAGGCAAAGTTTCTTGAATGTAAAGACTGAATTTGGAAAATAGGAAAGGATGCAATTACCATGTGCATAGCACTAGGGCCAGCCCGTTAGTCTTCCAACCACCTTGCATGTTCGATGCCTTGCGAGTCCTGGAAGAACTACTAGAGCCAGAGACCGCATAAAGGGGAACTCCCCCACCCCTGGTTCGTGGTTGTCTTATTCCCTAACACAGATGAGGGGTTTTTTTTAAATCCAACGGCAGGAATGGCACAAGGCTCAGGTAAACACATTTACGCATCCATGGCTTCCCCATCAATTTTATTACCTTATCAAAAACCGTCTGAATTGCTGAGCCACCATCACCTTTGTCTTGAATCTGTACTGCTCATCTTTAAACTTATTCTGCAAGGTATTTACAAATTCTTACATTTCTTTCGGCTTTTGTACACTTTCCTTAGCAATATACTCATCACTTGCTGGCATTGTTTTATATAACAGGAACATACTTTGGTGCTGTACTTTAAGTGGGGAAGGAATAGCCCTTAAAAAATTGTGTGGCTTGAGCAACAGTGAGGGAAGAAAGAGGTCAAGTTTTGGATTGTCTTAAAAACTTCCCTTTTTAATTAAATCCCAACTTTCCCAGTGTTCTCCAGCATTATTTCAAATGTCAGTCCTTACAGAGGCCTAGTCCCCTGGCTCACATCATAATGGATGATGGAGGTGGTAAAATCTGTATGCTGCACCACTCCTGTTTTTACTGTGGAACCTCGCCGGTAAAGGCGTCCTAGCTTTCATATATTTCCATTAGCATTTCTGGATGCCGTCCATGTGCTGCAAGAGCTGTTCACACTGGGATGTTGTTTTCTTGATAGCTTGTTGCAGCCGAGCACTGATTCCTCCTCAGCCTGCTTTTAGCATTTGTCTTTCACTCAAGGAACATGTCATCGTCCACAGTAAGAACAGCTCTCCACAGCTAAAACCAGCTTAGAAATAAAGCTACATTTACAGCAGAAAAATATTGGCGCGAGACTGCCCTAGTTATGCTGATTCAGATTATTCTTCCTGTAGATAATACTGGGCGTAGCGATAGCACCTTCCTTTCGAGGACCTTAAAAGTGCTTTAGCCAGTAATTAAACCTCAGCCACCTGTGAGGTGAGGTGTAGTTTGGGGGGGGGGGGTTTTTTTGCTATTTAAATAGCCAGAGAAACCGGCTCAACGAGGAGGAAGAGAACCCAAAGTCCTAGTCTCCTGCCCAACACTTGCTGGTACAAAACAGCCACGATCATTAGGAATAGTTTTACAGATATGTACATTTAAAAGCTAAAGCTTGAGATTGTATAGTTTTGAAGGGGGGGAAGGGAGGAGGGGAACTAAATCCAGACTCGTCCTACTTTGTGCAATGAATCGCGCATATGTAATTTGCAGTCCTGAAAAAATGGGTGTTGACTGAATGGCCTTTTTGGAGTGATGATTGTTTCCCTTCTCTCCTCCCCCAAAGCATCTGGACTTCTCCGTCTTGCCCATCCACTGCATGAATGCCACTTAGTGAGGGGGCAACGGCTGCATCTGGAGGGCATCATATGTGTCCTTGGTTGCAGAGCTGAGTCCCTGAAAGAAGAAAGAGAGGGTAAGGCGGATGAGGTAGACCTTGGACCAATCGCCTGCCTTTAGTCTTGTGTTCAGCACACTAATCTGGTCTGTAGCAGTGATGAGAGGCACTTGTTCAGATCACTATTTCCCTTGAAGATGAAAGGTCAATGGCTATCAGTTACCCTGAAGGTAAGATGCATGCTGAATACGGGTTAATGAAAAACACTGCTATAGTAACTTACCCTGAAAGCTCAACAGTGCTTTACAGTACTAGCCTCAGCAGCAGCACGTTCACTCACATAATGGCTATGTCTGAACAGTGGACAAATGTGTCAGCTAGGCAGAGCTATGCACCACAATAAGCTATGACCAACTGACAGTGCATTCTGCTTCACTAAATTTGCCTCTGCACTGACCCAAGTAGGAATTTCGACAGGACACCTGAGTTTAATACCAACTTCTGCCACCAGCTTGGTGCATTTGGTATGGCAGCAGCACTGCAGATGGAAGAGTACTCATCAATCCCTTTCTCCCCAGTTCAGTCCTCTGATTTTCTGTTCCAAAATGGTCTTTGGCATCACTCCGTTAGCTGTGACAAATGGCTTTATTTACTTTACTTGTCCCAGCATCCTTTGCACTGATTGCAACAGATTACTAAAGTGATGAACAACCAGCACACAAGATTCTGGGGTACTTGAGGCCCAAAGGCTCCATCTACAACTAACTGACCAACAAGCTGCTGGGACTCCTGCAGGCTGTAGATACTGGCTAAAAGCAAGATGCTCTGTGCCGCTTTAAAGGTATGTTTCTTAGCTCAGTGGCTGATACTGAACATTCATAGGTTTACTTGGTCCTCCAGCCAGTCCTACCTTTCTGTGAGTCTATAATCTCACAAGGGCCTAGTTGAAACCAGCTTTGAACAAAATCATTGCGGCTGGTTAGAGCTGATCAGCCGATGACCATTCAGGTTCATGGCAACTTTTCAGGTATGTATGGGTCTGCGTAAGTTATGTTTACTGGGGATGTAGAAGATCCAGGTTCAAGTCTTTGTTCTGCCTGATTGCGATCAGAGGGTTTTTCCCTACCCCAACTCATTCCAAATCAAGCCAAGTAGAGACTTTAACCTGGGTGTCCCATATCCCAACCCAGTAACCTAACAGCCCAGCTGTAGCATGAGTCAGTCTCCATTCCACTTCAGCAAAAATGTTCTGTTCTCCTACTGGGGAATCTGAGTGATCAAGCCTGCAACTAAGGCCTTCATGGAGAAAGCGTCTCAGGGAGATCCCACTCAGTCCTCAGCTACAAGTATGACCACCATGACAAAGTTGCTCACCGAAAGTTAAGTGTAGGAGAGAAGGAAAAAAACCTTTTTTCCCCACGTCCCCCACCTTGACTCTCCATGAGGGACTTCCCTAGGGAACATAAGATGATCATCTCAGTTTCAGTGCCTTTAATACATCTGCCAGGCTCCTCCAAATAAACTTCACTACTGGAGAAGGGCACCTGGGCTCAGGGTCAAGCCTATATTTTGGTTCAGTTCTGCTTCAAGCCACCAAAACAAAACAAAAAGTTTGGTTACTGTTTCGAACTGATTCACATCACATTTCAGTCTTAGTGGAAGTAAACTCAAAGAGTTAAAACTTAAAACTGAAGCTTTTTTTATTTTGACAGTTTATTTTTCAACTTTAACATGAGTTTTCATAGTGTTTTCTGTTAAACTTTTTTAAGAACACTGTGTTTTAGTTCCCTCAGATCACATCTTCAACCATTTGCTCTTTCCTATATGGGACCTCTGCGGTGAAAGGATAAGTGAGTTTAGGGCATGGGCCCTGCCTTGGGGGGGGGGGGGGGAAGGCGCACATCTGTAGGAACGCATTGCCCCAGGGATGGAGAGCTTTTCCCTTGGACTTGAAAAGTTACTAACTCCTGGGACCAGGGAGCATTCCACTTCTTCTCTCCCTCCAGGGGAACCTCAGAGGCTATGGCTGCACAGCAATAAGAGACCCATGGCACAGGGTCTCAGAGCCCAGGTCAGTGAGCTCACAGGGTTCAAGTGGTGGGGCTAAAAATAGCAGTGTAGATGTTTTGGTTTTGAAATCGGTCTCAAAGGCTGGGCTTCAGCCTGAGCCAGCTGACCTGGGCTCTGGGACTCTCCGCCAGGGGATTTTATTGGCACATAGACAAATATCCAGTAATGCTTCATCTAGCTCTGGGCCCCTGGCTGCCTCATTTGGTGTACAGTCCTGAGCTGCCCCCTCCCTCCCTATGCTTGTGGACTTGCCGCCTCCTATTCTCCTTATACTAGGGCTTGGTCTACACTAGCAACTTAGGTTGGTTTAACTGTAGCATGAGTCAGTCTCCATTCCACTTCAGCAAAAATGTTCTGTTCTCCTACTGGGGAATCTGTAGTGATCAAGCTTGCAACTAAGGCCTTCATGGAGAAAGCGTCTCAGGGAGATCCCACTCAGTCCTCAGCTACAAGTATGACCACCATGACAAAGTTGCTCACCGAAAGTTAAGTGTAGGAGAGAAGGAAAAAAACCTTTTTTCCCCACGTCCCCCACCTTGACTCTCCATGAGGGACTTCCCTAGGGAACATAAGATGATCATCTCAGTTTCAGTGCCTTTAATACATCTGCCAGGCTACACTAGCAACTTAGGTTGGTTTAACTGCGTCGTTACAGCACCGTTCTACTGACCTAACTCATGGTGTAGACAGTGCTATGGCACTGGGAGGGCTTCTCCCCTCGAGCTAGGTACTGCCTCTCAGGGAGCTGGAGTGCCTGGGCCAACCAGAGAAGCTCCCCTGTCAGCGTGGGTAGCATCTTCACTGAAGTGCTACAGCCTTTAGTGTAGACAAGCCTCAAGCCAGGCCTGGTGGTTGTTTCATGAAAGAAGTTCACAATAGTTTAAAATATTGAGCTTAAAAATGCCAAACCTTTATTTTAAACCCGTCACCCAACTTTTTTTCTTCCAGTTCAGTTCCGGTTCAGGTAAAAATACCAGTTTGAACTGGTGCTGCAGCGCTGGTCCAACTCCCTGCTGCTAACCTACCCTCTCCGCTAGTGGTCAATGCCACATGTGCCAGAGAAAATGAAAATCCCCTAATGAACCTGCCTGTTCAATACTGTGAGATAACGAAAGTAGCTGGTGGTGAACTAAGGAGAACTAAGTTTTTGATTTCACCTTTGAGTCGCTGCAGGTGCTAGGCAGCCCTTAACCAACAGTTGGTCATATTAGGCAGCAGCTAAGTCGAGCTACTTCAAGAACAACCAGACACATCCTTTACATGTTTCAGAGCAGCAGCCGTGTTAGTCTGTATTCGCAAAAAGAACAGGAGGACTTGTGGCACTTTAGAGACTAACCAATTTATTTGAGCATGAGCTTTCGTGAGCTACAGCTTATGCTCAAATAAACTGGTTAGTCTCTAAGGTGCCACAAGTCCTCCTTTTCTTTATCCTTTACATGTTACAGCTGACCTATCTGGATCAGGGACTATAGAGCAGACAGAGGGAGCAAATGATTGTTTTAGGAAGTCCAGCTGCCAGAGTTTTGGGACTAGTGTGGAGCACCTCCTTCTCCAGCTGGAAAATACAAATAGCAGGGACATTTTAAGGTGATCTGGGCTACTTTTAACAAAGGGTTACAGCGGGGTGTTCTTAGCTTTGAAGTAGCAGCAGCATATCGCCTCTGGTCACACAGACACTCTAAAGCCCCATAGCATCATCCATTAGCAAACAAAGGTTAGACATACAGTTAGGGGCTGCAATCCAATTACTGAATTAGATGAGAACATTAATATGTATGCACTCCCTACCTGGTAGACGCCATCGTTCCCTTTGCCTCGCCGCCTCTGGTGCTTTGGGAAGTAAGAGAAGCCATGGATTAATAGCCACTACTGCTTTGTGTAGTAGGGGCACTGTGATTTACTGTATTTCAATATGTAGTGTTCACAAAAGTGCCTCCTATTTTATAGGCCAGATACAATTAAGAAACGGCCCTCATTTCTCAGGTGGTGACTGCTGCATGCCAGGTGGGGGCCAAGTGACTCTGCACTCCATTAAATACAGAGGACAATGCAGTAAGTTTCCTAACCTTCAGCTCTTCATCCAGCGTTAATTTTGTGAACAGCCTATGATGCAAAGGAAGCACTCATGGGCCCTTTAGGAAACAACAAACTCAAACAGCATTCAGTAAAATGACATGCACGTAAACAGCCCCAGAAGCTGTCGGTCTCTCTAGGCTTTCAGAAGAAAAACCGGCCTTATCACCTGGATTCCAATCAATGAAACATTTCCCTTGGAATGGTGTTTTGTCAGATCAGCCAGCTGACCACAGCATCATGCAAGATGCAGGTTTCCAAGTGAACCAAGTGTGACATTTCAAAGAGTGGCTGCAGCAGTCCTTAGGCACTACGATGTATGTATGAAAGGGTGAGCTGACAAGCTGCATGCACACCCCCATCTGAGGGGGTTAGGTGAACATTATCAGTGTCATGCCCACTAAAGTTAAAGTTTACACTAAATACCCTTGTTTTCACAGCTTTCTGAAACAAAATACTCTTATTGAGGATGAAATTCTCCAATTTGTCTTTTTCTGAGGGTGAATTTTTTTTTTTGGACCTTTGGGCCCAGGCCCATATCTGTTTGAGTGACAGGAAAAGGAAAGGGGTATTTACCTTTTTTTAAAAACAAGTCTACCTATGCAATTTTAACAAGAACTACCATAAAGATGCTTGAGAGTTGAAACTCAGCAAGGGTATGATCCTTACCCAGAACCATGAGTGCCTTTATTTGGTTTGAGGGGGGGGGGAAACTGGAGCCCTTGTAAACTGTGCGCCAAGTGTGCAAAACAGACTTTTCCCAGTGATGTTTGCAAACTGACACATAGTCCAAAATTCACTTGGCATCAAACATTCAGAACTTTGAAACTACAGCACCGCTTTTCTTCAGACTTTCCCCTGAAACTTAAATTAAGCTGGGAAGGAAGAAAATTGGTATAAATAGTTTTTAAAAATCAGCACATTTAATTTTTTCCCTGAAGTTATTCTGCAGGCACAGAACTGAATGCCCAGCATAACGGCAGCGGTGTAACCGTTTGTTTCTAGTATCGATGGGATACAACCTTCTGTCTAACCTCTAAGGCTGCACTCAAGTCATGAACAGAAGTAAAAGTTACATTACTAAGACCTGGATTTTATCGAGTGCTTTTCATCAGTAGCTTTCAAAGCACTTCAATATTTAATGTATTAGCTGTTTGGAAAGCACTAGTAGACTGCGGCTGCTACTGGAAAGAAGTCAATTCTTGCTTTACTGGGGTGGTTTGGTTTTTTTTTTAATTGGGAATTAACTTTGTGTGTGTTGTAGTGGGAACCTCTTATATGGGATGGAAAATTCTTTGCATCATTATACCTGCCCTTCTTGAAAAGAAAGGTACCACTCACCTCTCCCTTCTTCCCAATTTCACTGTATGCCTCGCCCATCTTGTCCTTCTGCAAAGACTGGCAACCAAATTTAGAGAACAGCATTAGCAGTGTAAGAAGTCATGCTAGCCCCATTGATATCCTTAGCCCCACTGCAGAGTTGCTCCTTTCCCTCCCTTTCACTTCTAATCCCTCCCCTCCCTCAGACAACTCCTAGCCTTAGTTCCATCTATATGAGGTTGGTTCTTTGAGACCTTCTCCAGTCCAGTCTCTCTTAAAGCAGTTTCTTGGAAATTTGACAGCTAATCAAATACTTCTGTATGATGTTTAGCTCAGTCTTCCAACCCTTCTCTTAAACTTAAAAAGGGAGGGTATCATCCTGTTTCCTATATGTTCTTCCAATCTTCTTTTCCAACCTTCTAACTGCAAGCATCCAGCTTAATGCATTCATTTCCACTGTATTCAAGATCTGCTTCTCTCTTCCTCAGTGCCCAGCATTCAGAGCCACGCAAATGTGCAGGCCTTATTACTGTCTTGCAAGATCTTTGTTTTCAATTTGCTAGGCATTCGCCTATTGTAGAGCACTCAGCTCACTTCTCTCCATTTAGTCCATGCCTTTCCTGTTCTGCTTAAGTTAGTTGCTGAGCTCACCTTTATCCTCTACTATCGAACCTAGGTCCTTGAACTTCTGTACCTGTTAGTAATGGCTGCCCTCCAGACATAGTCTTGGCATCTTCCTGCAAGGTATCGAATCAACAGCCCCTATACTCTGTTTTATTGCAGCTGATTTTCATGCCCTTTCTTTCAAGTATGCCCCTCCATCTCTGAAATCTTCTTCCACTTCCTCTTTGCTCTCCCCCACAAGCACATCATCAGCTGCAAAAAGCATGCGGCAGGGTGCCACGCTCTGGCTGTTTTCTGTTAGTGCATTAAGCACCCATGTAAATAATAAGGGACTTTTTGCCAAGCCATGGTATACTCCAACTCTTACTAGAGACTGTTCAGTTTCTCCATATGGCCTTCTAACTGTGGTAACCCTGATACAGATCCTGGATGAGTCTGGCTAGCCTTCAGCCATCTGTTTCATTCTCATACACCACCAGATGACTTTTCTTGGACTGTGGTCATGAAGAGTCAAGATCGATTCGTATTATGTGCAGGGTTTTCCTCTATAGCTCAGACTAGTTGGTTTTTGTGTGGCACATTGCATGGGACAAGCCAATGAATATGCAGCATGGATGGAATCTAACGGACTATTTATTCTACCAGTACTTCTTCATAGCACCAACTCAAGGTAACTTGTAATTGGCTCCTTCACTAGAAAATCCCAGGGTCAACCAAGGTTCAGAACAGCTCCTCTGGCTGTAGAGTGGTGACCATATCACCAAGGGTTATAGGCACCCTATTTAGAGAGAAAAGCTGAACTGCGGGCCGGCACAGGGTACTGCTCAGGCTATAGAGGGAGGGAGAGAAAGGAGCTCTGCAAGGTCAGAGGAAGAGGATATCCTCCTGGCTGTGCTATGGGAAGGGGTTTACTAACTCTCAGGGACCTGCTGCAATCAGAACCTGTGCTAACTCAGGTGGTGCTGAAAGTCTGTAAGGGAAACCGATGGACTCCTCCATGCAGCTGTAAATTCCCAACACCCAGGGAGAAGTTGAGCAGGACTCCAGTGCTAATTCTCCAGATCACTATGGCTGTCTGCTACCCCTCAGGGTAGGATATTGTTCCCCTTCACTGTGGTAGTGTTAATGAACCAGTATCCTAAGTAAGATGCTTCTGGGGATGCAGTTAGTTACAAAGGAAGTTCTGCCAATGTTACTTCAGAGAGAGCAGGCACGGGGCCAACTGGAAGCAAAAATATTCCATAGACTGGGGCAGTAAGTGCTGGGGGTAGGCAGTGTATCTCTGTACAGTCCCTATCCTCGCCCTATGAAGTGGGTCAGTCTAGCTCATTTTGGGGAAAGGTGACTGCCTGGGGAACATATCCAAAACCTGACCCACACAACATCAGCACAGAGAGACACTGCTGCGTGAGAGAGTGTATCAAACACTGCCTTGAGCACTCTGCAGCTCCTTCGTTGGGTTACTCACAGTGTAAACAGCGTCCTGAGGCTTCTTTCTTCTCTGCTGAAAAACAAAGGGGAAGGGCTGAGTACACAGCACTGTGTCAGCATCCTTTACCTCTGTGCATAGGCTGTGTACGAGCCATAGCTATGAAAATGGCATGGTTATGTACTGCCATGTTTCTATGTATCCAGTGTACACAGTGGACGCATATTACTGCCATCTTTTTCCACATACGGCTCTCCAGTCTGGCACCTGGACAGATGTGTGTAGAAGAGCTGCTGCTTTGAAGTTGTTTATTTTTATTTGTTATGCTTACTGAAGCCTAATCCTTCCTCCCTTGATCTGCATCACAGGGAAACACTGAGCAAGGGGAAGGCGTCCCCTCCCTCTTCAGCAGCAGTGAGGTCTCAGCAAGTGCAGTTACTTTAGCAAGTGCCAGTGAAGTAACATAAAAGTCAAAGTGTCACGCAGATCTACCGTGAGCCACTCAGCCCCTGTATGCCCTGCCCCCACATCCGTTGGGTTTGAGATGGTGTGTGATTTCCTATTCTGGGCTGTTAGCTCCTAAGAAAGGCATGGGTAAAGATTTTACTGTCTGCACATCAAAGGCTCCAGCCTCGTGTTGTGTTAGGACTCTTCTGTCTCTATCCAAGGTCGTCCCTTGCCTTGTGAGAGACCTGAAGAGAGTTAACTACAGGCTTCAACACGAGCAGCTAGCAGGGCGTTCTGAGTCCCCTGAAAGGGGGAGTGTTAGGCTCAAGATTGTTGCTGGCCCAGCTATGTTAGGGAGGTGATTACCCAAAAAAAGCATTGGAGATATACTAGCAACGCCCTCCTAGAATGGACACAGGTATGCTGCCAAAACTGCCCGCAGCTTAGGTCAGTTCCCTGAAACAATCAATCAATCTATAGTGCCGTAAGTGCAGTTTGTGCTGGCCCAGCTCCGCTGGTTTAAAAAACAAAAAACGCATACACCCCCCTCACCAACATAGCTATGCGAGGAAAAGGTTTCAGGGGGTTATGTGAATTATGTCTAGCCCTAAGCCCACTGTGGCTAAGGGCATATAGGACCCTTGTCACAAGAGGTTGAGCTGGTGCAGGATTTCCACAACCAAGTCAGTTTATATCCAGCAGCCCTCAATTCTAGCCACACCACGGCAGCGTGCCAGCTGCAAAAGCCTGCTTAAGGTTGAACTGTCACTTGAGAATCTCCAGTAACCTGCTTCAGCATTAAGGCATCTACTCCGGTTGTGGACAAGTCCTGAGGGGCAGCATAGATGGTACATCAGACATGTGTGGCTAACAGAGGATAATGGTGCCCTGTACACGTTAGCCAGGACATCGTGTGAATGGGTACATGCACATCTTTGAGAGAGGGTAAGCACAAAAGGAAGGAAGGAAAGTTAAACAAGAGTGCAAGTTAGAGGAAATTACCTGATTTCTCCCTCCCATTTCAAGGTCAGAGCCTCTCTTTTTAGTTCCCAGAACATCATAGTCATCTCTGGTTGTACGAGACAATTTCTGCAATGAAAAAGCAAAAGAAGTCAGAGTGACAGAGGCTGTGCTAATAAGCAACTTAGATCTTGGATTAGTTAACACTAGAAGGAAATTCCAGTTCAACATCCAATTTACTGCACAAGTTATAACTGATAAATAAGCCAAAAAGTAGTTTTGAAAGAAAAATAATCAACACTAATGATCTAGAGCTGTATGCATCAGCCACCCTGCTTGCTAGTCTATCCACTAGAATTCAGATCTTCCTGACCCTAGAGCTAAAGGCAAATCACAGTTAGTTGAAATAGGATTATGGTTTTTATACTGTCTCCCTCTAGTAGCTGGGGATGTATACTCAAACACTGGAGCAGATTTGATTGTATTTAACAGAAGATACACTGATACCATATCTATATCAGCCATGACATTACACCATTGATGTTTGTCCCCCTTTTAAAAAGTCTTGATTTGCATTCAATAAATTCAGGAAACCCTTTGCCTGAGCTCACTCTTGATTGGGACTGTTTACTTTACAAAGTAGACAAATATGAGAGGGCTGTGATAGAAGTACCCAAAATTAGGCATGATATAAAAAGAGGATAGATCAGGTGCTTCTATTCTCCCCATCTCATATCAAAAGAATGAGGAGACATTCAATGGACTTGAAAAGATGGCAAATTCAAAACATACAAAAGAAATACTTTTTCATCCATTCAACAATTAGATGATTCTTTGGCCACAGGATGTGGTTGAGGTCAAGAACATGGCAAGATTCAAAAAGACTGTACATTTACATGGATAAGACTATCCAGAGACTAATAGCTAATGCTAAAAAGTTTATTGGAAGAAATCTAATACCTTCATGCTTCAAATCTTAAACTAATCTCTAGCTATCTGGGGCTAGGCAAACACTGCACGAGGACCAGATTCTCACATCTGCCTACTGTGGAGTTGTTTGTATTATCCACTGCAGCATCTGATACTGGCCACTATAAAAGACAGGATATTGGTCAAGAAGGACCATGGATCTGATCCAGTGTGGTACTTCCCCTGTTCTAGGATACATAGCAAGTCACATGACTAGACCAATGGAGACATGGTGACTTGAGCCACAGGAGATACAGTGATCCCTGTTACTTAAAGAAGAACCAGAATCGCCCCAGTCGTGCTCAGATTCTGCATGTCTGATCCCACCCCATCTTCCATTCAAATCCAAAACCTGGAAATGGACAGTTCCTACTTCTGGGGTCTAGCTCTGATCTTGCCTAGATCCCCCTGCCCCCCACTAGATTCCACGCTCACCCTTGCTATTTTCTGGGAGGAAGAGCCACAAGCCTCCACCCTTCCTGGGCTCTTTAGAGTGGAGCCACCTCAGGGACTACACAAAGGTTTTTGGGTGTGCAGTTCCTGTGCGGCACACCCACAGCAGGGAGCAGACATTGCTGCTGCTGCCCTCAGTGGGGAGAAGAGGGTCAAGTCAATTACTAGCTCTTGCAAAGCGCCAAATACCTAGGAGCCAGGTATGGGAAGGGGTTTGTGGATGCCTCATTCAAAAAAACGCAGGAGCAGTAAGTGGGGGCCCTATTGACAGAGAGGATGTGGGGGAACAGGGGTTGAGGGAGGGTAAGCAAGCAAGCAAACAAACATGGCGCAGTGAGATTTCCACCATTTGGATTCTAATGCTGGATCCAAATTCAGACCCAGACAGCTGTCAGGGTCAAATAAAAATACAACCCCCAAATGTTACCTCCGGGGGTATTTGAAGTTAGATCTGGACCCCAGCAGGTCAGTGAGTCTCAGTTTACACTGAAATTCATCCATTTGCTGCAGCTCAAGACAAGATCAATTTCTGACCAGTAGGCTCTTCCACTTACTCTGGTCTCACCAAGCCTGAGAGGCAGGTTAAAAACATCAGTACAAGCATATTCCTGTTCTAGGGCTGATGCTGGTTAATTAAGCAAGGGTAGCATGACATAACTCTCTCTCTTGTCCCCTTCCCAAGAGTTTACTATACTAGTGCCTTGTCATGGTTGAATGGAAGATAGTCATGCCACTGTGCTGTGCCATATTGTCCCTATCAGCAAAGGGAGAAACTGACAGGATGCAAGTGTGTAGAAGAAAAGCTGTATAACTGAACAGATCTCTGAGCATTAGCCAGCCTCCTTACCTGAGAACAGGTAAAAAATCAATCAGTGTAAATATATTAGTTTATAAACCTTTAATCACCCTCCCTCATTTCTAAAGGTAAAATAATAAAATTCTAGTAAATCTAAAATAAATTCCTGTCAGGAGATCAACAGCACATTGAGACATTGGGGGTTGTTTGGTTTTTTTTTAGAAGACATACAATATTATGTATTTTTACAAGTAAGTGTCTAATAGTGATAGTACAAGCATATGGAGCTATTACAAGTGTAGTGCTCTGGTCCATTACTAGAGTACTCTTTATAAGCATAGAGGTTAGACTTGGTACCTTACAGACAACCTATGGTCTACTCCCTTTCCAGCAACCCACAATGCAACATTCAAGCAATAGTTAATAAATAACCTGGGAAGAGTTCACATTTGACCCTTAAAGCGTTGCATTCCAGATATCCATATTCTAAACCCTACCACACAGAGCAGTGAAGAGACACAGGTGCCTTAATTGGGGCTACTCAAATACGTACCTACTACTCAGTGTGAGGCAGTACTGCAGGGTCAGGCCCCCTGTAGAGGAAAGCATACGCTGATGGGCACATGTGTGTTTCATGGACTTACAGACAGCACTCTGTGATCCACACACCAGCTCCTGTGCATGTATTGGACTGGCTGCATCTGCCAACTGGAGAGCGCTGGCTCAATACTGGAATTAATTGTTCCCGCCCTTCTGGTGAATGGACATGCCAAGTGCACCTCCTGCACATTAATAGCGTCAAGCCTTAAACCAGAGTCCTAGTGTTCTGTTGGTAACAGGTGAGTGAGAAGGAAGTTTCCCCCACGGTGAGCCATTAGGAGCTCGCCCCAGTGGGAAGTCACTTCCTCTTGTAGCTACTGCACTGCCCACTTGTGATTGTTCCTCATTAGTCTGCCTCATCTAGCCCATCCTGAGAGCCTTCTGGCCAGAAGAAAGTCACCTCATTCAAAGGACAGCAGGAGAAGAGAGCATGTCTGGATGAGCAAATTAAAAACATGTTGACATAAGAGCAGCAGTCACTTACATTATACACGTCATTCTGATCCGGCAGAGCTTGGGATTCAGGAGCGTTGCTGAACTGAAAGAGAGAGACAGCAAAGTGAGCACCTGGCAATGGCAGCATAGTAGACACAGCCCCCGGGGGAGTTATTCTTACCTTAGGTGGGGAACCTACAGACTAACAGCCCTGCCAGTGCCATCAAGAGTTTGCCATCTGGGGTGCCCAAAAGGGCCAAAAAACTATACAAATTCCTGCCCTGCTCTCCGAGGGAGCTTTCCTTTGTATTTCAGTCCACTCTCAGGCTTGGTCATCCTTTTAATGGTGCTTTATAACAGCCCTTTGGAAGCTGAAACACAGACAGGATTTCCTACTGAATGTTCCCCTCCACTGTGCCCGTGCACACCAGCATGCTACAGCAGGGTCACCGTCAAGCTCCAAGCCAGTTATTGGAAAGTCTCTTATGAGGGCAAGGGCTGCTAGCATTAATGCCAGGTCTTTCATGGGTCCCGCCCTGCAGGATCAAGCTCTAAAAGACTAAGGACACCTTTTAAGTCTCCAGGCTGCGCAGCGACAGAAGGTGCTATATAGATTGGGGGAGGGGTGTTTGAAAATTTTCCTCTTAAGTCTGAATATTTTTGCTCCCATCTGCACAACTCTTGCAACCAACCACACACACTTCTCCTTGGCCTGCCCAGGCTTAGTTGTTTGTTGTTGTTGGGTTTTTTTTCGGGGGGGGGGAGGGGAACGGGGGTGTGAAAGAGCAGCAATTTGAGTTCTGAGATTTTTCAAAAAGTGAAAAACCACCAAATTTTTACAAGTGTTTTAACCTCTCATAGCTCAAAAGGAGCTTGGCCTAAACATTTCCAATTTGTTTTATGCACTGAAAACTAGCAGACAGACTCCAGAAATGTAAACTTAGTCTGACATTTAGGGTTCCCCCCCCCCCACACACACACACGAATGGCATAGCCTCCTTTGAATATTTGGCATGCCCTGTAGGCTACAGAGCTGCTAAACCTCCTTCTTACTACAATGGAGTTTACAAGGTTAGTTTGCATTGCCTATATTCATTCATTTTAAAAAGATGCATCTCTAGGGGCCCATCTGGTGCTCTGGGCCTCTGTCTCATACATTCATCACAATATAAGCAGACAAACGTGCACCCATAAATATATCCACGTCAAATGACACCCTCCTCAGCAGACTTACTAAGAGAGAGAAGAGACAAGCTTTGCTGCGTGCTTGGAAGATTAAAAAGTCTGGGCTCCAACAGATTGTGGAGTGGGGTTCAAAATAGAGGACCCTCAGAGAGCACCCTGCTCGCAGCTCCTCACTTTTATAGTGGTCACGCCATTTCAGCCTCTGCTGATCCTGACTAGCACAGTACACATTCATGGGAAGACAGACAATCTCGGGTAACTAGGTCCCAAACCTACAACGTCTGCTAGTGCAGTTTGATCCCTACCAGCTAAGGCAGGTGCTTTGCCCATGCCATTTTGAATCAGGCACAGTAGGACATTGACTCAGTGCCAATACATTGGCTCCAAGCACACCTCTATGGAGCAGCTGTGCCTGCCATGTTGGGGTACCTCCCCCCAACTCCACTACTTTGAAGGGACACAGGCATTGCTGTATACCCGTTAGCGCCACACTTACAGCTAAAGCACTTACCCCAGACAGCACATTCAGAACTTGCATTTAAGATCTCTGAGACCCCAGCCTTGCATGGGTGTGGAGTGGGCTCTAGCAATCAGTATGGATCTCATAACCTCTGCAGTCTGAAGGTGCTTGCTGGCCCTTGTAGCAGGCTTAAAAGGGGGCTGGAGCAGTTGTAGTCGCACAGACCCTGCCAAAGCAGGCTGATGGCTTGTCAGGGGCCATTATCAATTCATTTATATACAATTCCATCACAGGGCAATGAGACAGCTAGCAGTTCTTTGAAGGCCTCCTCTGCCTATGCAGCAGCCAGGAGAGGTACCAGTTCTACAGCCTAATAGCTAAAGCAAAGAACTGACAAGCTCTACAGACATGCAGAGCCTCTAAATGCCACAAGACAAAATAGCTTCTATTCTAGTAATTTATGAGATCTGCTGGGGAAATGGTTACATTTTTAATTGCACTGAAGCTGCTCTGGGTCTCCTGGGGAATTCAGCAAAACTTCTTTGTAGCCAACTTTCTACACAAGAAGGCATCACACAAAAAGCTTTCTACCTCAGACATGCCTACGTAGCAAAAGATTGATGGAGGGTTTGTCTACACAGAATGGTTTTGAGACTATATACAGGGGTAATTGGGAGAAATTTAGTGGCCTATGATATACAGATCAGACTAGAGGATCTGACTGTCTCTTCTGGCCCTAACCTATGAATTTAGGCAAGGGCTTTGCACTGCACGTACGTACAGAACTTTGTATACAGACACCACTTTCTAGAGAGAAGAACACCAGGTAGACAGGACTTGCGTGTACAGACTCTTCTTGCTGAGGGGAATCAAAACAGCTCCTCTTTGCTCTCCCCATCATGACACTGGGAAGGCTGCAGACTCCAATTTTATAGCTCCATCTTAAATAAATGGAGTGGTACCAGCGATGGGTTTGTCATCCTGCCTCTTCCTCTGAAGCAACAACTTAGTTATTTGCTATCACTGAATTATTACTGTATACACATTCAGTTAACAGCTAGACACATTACAGAAGGTAGGCTATTCCATCTCCTATGGGTAAAATCCACTACCTAGGACATCTCCAAGTAGATTACATGCACCTGCTGCCAATATTCAAATCACCCTGCAAATCTGTTAACCTTAGAAGGGGAATGAATTTCTCTCACTTTGATTTCTCACTTTAGAGAAGTTCTGGGCTGGGAACAAGCAACAGCTGGGCTAGTTCAACCCTGCTTCAGCATCTTGCTGCTCCAGGTTCACAAGCTCCCTGGCAATTTTACTGAACCACGCCTAATGCCCGCTCTCTTTCCCCAACAGCAGGACAGGTCCATGACTCCTGCAGTCAAGTACAACGTGTACTTGGAGGGGCATCTGTACGTCTGTCTTTTCGCTCTGGCAGGCTCACACAGACTAGCAGTCCTAGAGCAGCACTTTCATCTGGATTTATAACGGCAGCCAAAAAAAAAAAACCTCACAACTCCTTCCTGCCACTGCCGAGTTCCATTCATTTCTTCTAAAACTTTCTTCCTTCTGATTTTCGTGGTGCATATGCTGCCTTGGGACACTGTTTATCTGTGGAACAGATGAGTGCCAGCAGCTGCAGGGCAAACCACCCCTCTGCCAGCCCCAACTAGCATACCTCCGCCCTGCCTGGGAGTACCCGCGAGAAGAGAGATCCAGTTCCAGGCCTATTCAATCCTTGGCTTCTCCACTGCAGGCTGACAAGGAAGGTGCCTGTTTTGAGTGGGGTTTTGGGCTGAACCCATTGATTAGAGTAGACTGAAACCAGAGGGAGATTTCTCACTTCGCCAGTCAGAGCGGAGATGCTGGGGAAGGGCTGCTTGCCTAAGCCAGGGAGAGGAGGGACGCTCTCCTCTGTTTTTAGCAAAAAGCAGGGGTTGTGCTTTTCCCCGGCCCCCTCACATTGGCCTCTGGGGGGAATTGGACTGAAGCCACCAACTCCCTTCATGAGTCACTGAACAGTCCATCACTGCCCACTTACCCCTGTCACAGCTCCCAGCCGGAGCCAAGCCTCCTAAGACTCCATGTATCCATTACCAGTCCCCAACTCGACATCCAGAGTGGTGGTTTTAAACACAGTTTAGCTTGGGATTTATCCTAAGTGCTCAGACCCTGTTCCTGAGGTATTCCTCTCTCACCATTTATCATGGTCTCTTCATTTCAAAGAGGCATAAACCAACTCACAGTGCTGACCCAGCATCTCCTACCTATTCTGTGCAGCCTCTGGTACTGTCCCCACCACTGTAGTATCAGAGCAGCGTACAGAGTTAAGAAGGACCCAGAGCTGCCAAGGTACTCCGGCTTTATTCCGTTGAAGCCAATGAAAGTTAGGAGGCTAAATATCTTTACAGCTCTGGGCCAAGGAGACTGGCATCTATCATGTGAGGTTTCCTCCCCTTCAGGGAAAGGTTATGTCTCAGAGTTTTCACCTGAGACAGCCAACATCACTAATCACTTTTGAAGTTTGGGTACAGTTGAACTGCATGGAGGCTACTTCAGTTAGAGTTCCTCAGCTACTGGTGTTCAAGTTTCCATCCACCCCTCTGACACCATCTCCTCTCTGGCAAAAATGCCCATCTTTACTGCCCACTTCTCCCACACCAAGCCTTGTGCAGAAGGAAAAAATAATCCCCAACAAAATCGGTAGGCCCACTGCTTTATCCTTCCTCAAATTCTTCCTCTGTTATGACGCCTGTAAACACCACTAGCAGAGAATGCCTCAGCAAGGAAAGGCTACTGTTTATTTTGCACAAGCATCCACATTTTACGGTTATTTTGTCCCCCATCCCCACTCCTGTTTGTCTGTTTTATACACCCATTTTGTCTTGTCGTAAGTTGAGATAGTGATCTTTCTGAGGCAGGGACTGTCTTTTCATTACCGTGACTGGGCCCCATGGCACAACAATAAACGTGCGCACAATGGCTACCAGACCCACAATTCCTTACTCTGTTGTCAGGGTGTGTTGGGGTCCCTGAGCCTTCAGGGCTGAACTATTATCACGTGACTGTCATGTTGCCTAAAGGCAGGAAGAGCTCTGACCACGGCTTGAATGAGGCAATATCAGGCTGGGGCTGGTTGGCATTGTTCTTTATGTCTATACCTCGTCCAAAGACCAGGCCAAAGGTGGGGCGTGAGCCAAAAATCACCCACAAGTTCTAAGGTGGAGAGAGAAGAAATGCATTTTGGATTCAAGATCGTGTGGCTGCAGATGCTGAATCCTCACAGGATGTGGACTCTGGGGAACCTTGCCATCATCACCCACAGTGACTAGGTTGGCTACTTTCTGAAAGCTCCCAGGCCCCTCCTTGTACTTTCCATATTCTGATGGTGAGTGGGTGCGACTCTTGAAGGAGCACTGCCTGTTTCTTTTTAATTAACCCACCAGTACAGATCACCAGCTGCAATGTTTTGCTAGATTTTGCATTTTATGCTTGGGAAAATTCTTCTGGGCCCTGCTCTGGAAAAACAAAATCAGTTAAGACTGCTCACAGCCCACTTCAGAAAAGGAAAGGCCTTACCACAAAGGAAGTTGCAATAATCCTACCATGCTTTCCCTATATCTTCAACGCTCAAATACTGAACTGCTTTCACTCCCGCCAGATCCCAGTGCTTAGCAACAGGCTCTCAGGCATCACAACGATCAAACTGCAAACCCAGCACTTCTCATTTGCAATGGGAGCTAAACGATCATAGGCTTATACACCAACTTTCAAGCCAGGCAACTATCCAAGAAAAGCTGATCTTCCCCCAACCACTTCCCAGTCCATAGACAGACTGGATTACGTGACAAACACCTAATGGTTCAGTGTTTTGAGGAGACACTGTGGCAATTAGACTAACCTTAGCTTTCAAAAAGAGGGCCGTAATGATGACTGCATAGATGAAGAGGATCCCATCCAGTATGTAGCACAGTCTCGGGTCTGTCAGTCCCGGAACCGGTGCAGCATCTGTACAGAAATACCAAGTACATTAATAAAAACAAGGTCATCTGGGTTATAATATACAGGCTGGCGTGTATATGGCTTTGCTGCCCTCTACTCAACAGAGCAACAGCCACTTCAGTGTGTGTGATTATGTACCCCCATAGCGGCTGGAGTCCTACAAAAGGACATACAAGCCCTAAGGCAACTGGCAGTAAAGGAAGACTCTCTTTTAGCACAAGAGGCTAAAGATGACTGTTATGAAGCAGAAAGTCCAGGTTCTATTCCCTGTGGCATGTGTGCACAGTTTTAGCTGGCGACTAGGACATCTGCATATCTGTGGTCAAAGATCAGCTACAATGCAGTTATTTGAAGAATGCCTGACATAGACAACTACTACCCATCAAGTCGGTCATTAGGATCCAATATTATCCCCTGCAGAGAGTCATGGCAACAAGAAGTTGTGACACAGAAATGCTGTTAAGTGTTGGTGTTTATGTCCTGGGCCCAATCAGATGATATGGTTAAGGTTACCTCCCGATCCCATCTTATGGCAGGCAGCAGAATGCCCTGACTCCAGTGGCACCTATTACAGTCATGACTACACCTTTTCAGAAAACTAAAAAGAGGAGCCAGAGCGGAGAAATTCAGCTGTGGAGCCAAAAGTTCAGGTCCAGAAGTTGGAGCAGTCTTAGATCGAGGGTTCAGGTCCAGAACCATCTGTAGAGGAAAGATTACAGTGTAATCTAAAAAGCAGAGAAAGATCACCTTTCCGGGAAACGGAGGAAGGTAACAGGTTATTTGAATTGCAAAATTAGAGGGAATTCAGAGAAGGGTGAAAAAAGTATCAAGAGTACAGAAAACTCATATGAAGAGAGAATGAAAAGTCTGGGATTGTTCGCCTTAGGAAGGAGATGAATAAGAAGGGACAAGTACATAAAATAATAAATGGTGTAGAGAAGGTAGACAGGGAGAACAGCAGTTCCCAGTCTCATAACACAATTAAATTAAAAAGGTGGCAAATTCAAAACTGATACAAGGAAATACTTTTTCACAAAACATGTGATTAAACTATAGAACTCATTACCACAGGAAGTTGTTGAGACCAAGACTTTAGCAAGATTCAAACTTGGCATTAATACAGATATCAAACATATCCAGAATTACCATAATTCATTATAAAAATTGTGGAAGGGGTATAAAACCTCATGCTCCAGGGTCTAAGCCAACCTCTAACTATTAGAGATCAGGATGAGACTCACATCTGCTACTGCAGGGTTCTTACACCTTTTTCTTTACAATCTGCTACTGGCCACTGTCAGACAGGATACTGAACTAGATGAACCTTGGATCTGACGCAGCCTGGCAATTCCTATGCACCACACATGACAGATGTTAGTCACGTTGCTTAATGCATTACTGGAACACACGCTGATATTACGGTGGATGAGGGTGGTATAGGAACCTTTACAGAATAGAACGTTCTATATGCTGGATCTCTATTCTGATTGGTGTTCCCACAAGGCCACTCACTCTAAAAAGCTTTTTGCAGATAATGTTTTTTCTATAACAGCCACATCGATGTGAGGAAATCTGCCTTCTGCAGGATCAAAGTGTCCAGTAAGTTAATGGTGCTGGATTTAAAGAACTGTATTCATAGAGAGAGACTGGGTACACTCAAACTTTTAGTCATGTTTTAACTCTTGATAATACAATTGTAAATTCTAATGTGGACACTATACCAGTATTTATTCCAGGACACAAATGTTTGCTGCTAGTTGTGTTTAAACTGAAGGGATTATTACACTGAGGCAGACGAAATTGTCAATACCATAAAATGATTTTTCTAAATTAGGAATTGACATTCAATTCAAAACAGTTCATGTGATTAGAAACCACACACTTACAGGGTATGTCTACACTTTGAGCTAGGGGAGTAATATCCAGCTTAAGAAAACACACCCACGTTAGCTTTGACGGAGCTAGCATACCAACATAGCCGTGGCAGTGTTTGCAGCAGGAGGGGCTAGCCACCCTGAATAATTGTGTAGCATCTTAGAGAGGTGTGTATTCAGGGTGGCTACTCTTCCACTGCTTGCACCGTCACACCTAGGGAAAGAAAGTGGTATATGATCCTCACCCTTCTATAAATGCCTTTTAAAGGATACTCAACATACTTTACAAATATCAATTAATCTTCACCACCACACTCATCTGATATAGGATTATACCCCACTTCCAAAAGAGTAAACAGAGGCAAGGAGAGGTTAAGTCACTTGCTCAAGGTCCCACAGTAAATCTATGGCACTGCTGGGAACAGAATCTGGTCTACACTATGAGTTTATGTCGAATTTGGCAGTGTTAAATTGAATTAACCCTGCACCCATCCACACAACGAAGCCATTTTTGTCGACATAAAGGGCTCTTAAAATCGATTTCTGTACTCCTCCCTGACGAGGGGATTAGCACTGAAATCGACATTGCTGTTTCGAATTAGGGTTAGTGTGGACGCAATTCGACGGTATTGGCCTCCAGGAGCTATCCCACAGTGCACCATTGTGACCGCTCTGGACAGCACTCTGAACTCTGATGCACTGGCCAGGTGTACAGGAAAAGCCCTGGGAACTTTTGAATCTCATTTCCTGCTTGGCCAGGTGAGCTCACCAGCACAGGTGAGCATGCAGTCCCAGAATCGAAAAAGCTCCAGCATGGACCGAATGCGAGGTACTGGATCTGATCGCTGTATGGGGAGACGAATCCGTGCTATCAGAACTACGTTCCAAAAGACGAAATGCCAAAACATTTAAAAAAATCTCCAAGGCCATGATGGATAGAGGCTCCAGCAGGGACGCAACACAGTGCCGCGTGAAACTTAAGGAGCTCAGACAAGCGTACCAGAAAACCAAAAGAATCAAACAGACACCCCAGGACAGAGCCCCAGACATGCCACTTCTACGCTGAGCTGCATGCAATTCTAGGGGGAGCCGCCACCACTACCTCACCCCTGTCCATGGACTCCGATGATGGGGTACTCTCCGCCATGCCTGAGGATTTTGCGGACGGGGAAAATGAGGAGGACGACGACGAGCTTGAGGAGAGCAGACAGCACACCGTTCTCCCCAACGGCCAGGATCTTTTTATCACCCTGACTGAAATGCTCTCCCAACCCAACCAAGCCAGAGAAGGGACCTCTGGTGAGTGTACCTTTTTAAATATAATACATGTTTTAAAAGCAAACATTTTTTAATAATTAATTTGCCCCGAGGACTTGGGATGCATTTGTGGCCAGTACAGCTACTGAAGAAGTCTGTTAACATGTCTGGAGATGGAGTGGAAATCCTCCAGGGACAACTCCATGAAGCTCTCCTGGAGGTAATCAAAAAGCATTTGTAAAAGGTTTCTGGGGAGAGCAGCCTTATTCCGTCCTCCATGGTGGGACACTTTACCATGCCATGCTAGTAGCAAGTAATCTGGTATCATTGCATGACAAAGCCTGGCAATGTGTGGTCCTGGTGTTTGCTGGCATTCAAGCAACATCCGTTCTTTATCTCTCTGTGTTATCCTCAGGAGAGTGATATTGTTCATGGTAACCTGGTTGATATATGGGAATTTAATTAAGGGGACATTCAGAGGTGGCCGCTCCTACTGGGCTCTTTGCCTGTAGCTGAAAAGAAATCCTTCCCACAGTTAGCCAAGTGGTGGGGGGAGGGGGCATTGGCACTGAGCTGTTCATGTTTGGCTAGCAGTGATCTTCCCTGATACCAGCCACGCAGTGGGGGGAGGGGTAAAGCAATCATCCCAGAGAATTGGATGGGGCGGGGGGTTAGTTTGGTTTCTGCTGCTGCACATTAACATGAAAACCACAGCACTAAATGGCCAACTCAACAGGCTTTGCTTGGTATGGGAAAGGAGGGCGCTGCTGTTATGAAGGTTGCAGAAGCTGAAAGACTATGGCTTACCATGGCCACCTGCAAGCCGCATTCTGTTGCCTGGCCCTGCTTGTGTGTTCTCTAACACCAAAGCCGCAGGCACTCAATATAAGATGCAAAATGCGACCTTGTACCGAAATCACATATGCTATGTAATGTGAATAGTGTTGTTCACCATGAAAGAGTATAGCCATTGTTCTGTAAACTGTATCTTTTTAAATACTTCACTCCCTTTTTTTCCTCCCGCAGCTGCAAATGTTTCAAGCCTCCCTCCTCCATCCCAAAGGCTATCTCAGATAAGGTGGCGAAAAAAAAAGCACGTGCGCTGAAATGTTCTCTGAGGTCATGCAGTTGTCCGGCACTGACAGAGCTCAGCAGAATGTGTGGAGGGACACAGTACAGGAAAGCAGCCAATGAATGTGAGGACAGGAGGGACGATCGAGATGAGAGGTGGCGGCAGGAAGTTCAGAGGAGGCAGGATGCAACACAGGGGCTACTGCGGGATCAAACGGACATGCTCCGGCATCTGGTGGAGGTTCAGGAATGGCAGCAGGATCACAGACTGCTGCTGCAGCCCCTGTTTAACTGCCCTCCCTCCTCCCCAATTTCCAAAGCCTCCTCACCCAGACGCCCAAGAACGTGGTGGGGGGAGGCTCTGGGCACCAACCACTCTACCCCAGTGGACAGCCCAAGCAACAGAAGGCTGTCATTCAACAAGTTTTGAAGTGGCCTTTTCCTTCCTTCCTACCCTGCTCCCACACCCCACCCAGGCTACCTTGTGAGTTATCTCCCTATTTGTTATAATCAATAAATAAAGAATATATGGTTTTTAAACTACAGTAACTTTATTTCCTTTGCAAGCAAGTTGTGATCGAAGGGGGGAAGGCGGGTGGCTTACAGAGGATTAGAGTCAACCAAGGTGGGCGGCGGGGGTGTTCATCTAGGAGAAACAAACAGAAGTGTTCACACGATACCCTGGCCAATCATGAAACTGGTTTTCAAAACTTCTCTGATGCGCAGCGCTTCCTGCTGTGCTCTTCTAATCGCCCTGGTGTCTGGCTACGCGTATTCAGCGGCCAGACGATTTGCCTCAGCCTC